ACCTTAAACAGTAGACGGGTAAGGATGAAATGAGAATATTTGAAGTTTTATTAAGGATGACAGAGTGGTCGTCAAGTTATACCCTGGGAAAAATCTATAAAAACCTGGAGTTATTGACAAGAGAATAGAAAACGCTTTTTACGAAATAACTAAGATGTTCGGAACGCGGATTATATATATCAAGCAGATCCATTGAGAAAAAGGACAATGACCACGGCAGGTGGATAAGTGAGTTTTCCGCTAGAGATAACCACAGATACTCCAATGATAAGAAATTCCAAGGACAAAATGAAGAAAAATAAGCTGAACGTTCGGAATTGAAGGATGTCAGGAAGATAGAACGCTGACGCAAACCAGTTGTCAAGTTATAAGTAGACCTTGTTTCAGAGAGGTGTTGGGAATGCTTCAGAAAGCACGGCGAGGCCTTAGATGCCTCCAAAAACGCCAAAGATTCCATCGAATCAGAACCTGATGTAGCTTTCTAGAATATCGATGTGATATGCTATGACTAGACGAGGATTTGCCGAATTATATTGATGTTATAGCCAATACTAATGACTATAAATACTCATGTTTCTCTGTACATTTCTCATTCCTACCAAATACCTAGTTTCGCTTCTTCCTTTGTCTTCTGATTTGCGACTATGGGGTTGTAGTAACACTAATACGGTCAATTTCGATAACGGTTAACCTCTATCAAGCTTTTTCATCTGACAGACAATGTTATCGACATAGTAACAATTCGTTCACTTATTTTTACTAGTGGAATCACAAAAATGTCTGCGTAAACAGGTATACTTGAACTATTATTACGACCTACGCACATTTCTGGGTAACTCAAGTATTAATCGCTTAAATAGAGCTCTATGTATCATTCTCCTTCCTTCATATATATGTACTTGTATCATAAAAGAAACAATTTTAGTCGCTGTGTATTTATTTGATATGACTATGGATTTACTTCTATATTCGCACGAAATGATTCGCTGGCCTTTTCGCTTCAAACCCTCTTGGTGTGTTTGTAATTCTGTGGTCCGTGCAATCAGCCAAGGAATTGTAGTCGTGAAGTGTGAGCTACTTAAATCCATATAAGTAGTATGTAACGATTGGCAGGTATAGAATGTATTCCAGTAGAAAATCGAGAAGGGAAGAACAAGAACGGTATGAAAATGCAGGAACAATTGACATCTGAGGAGATGGATTGGCATTTGTAGAAGGAACAGTCGAGTTTAAGACAATGGATTGATATTGTGCAAATTAACTATTTACTGTACGTTCTCAGATTTTAGTGAGATGTTCAGTAATTTCGTGTTTAAATACATTCGATTGTCCCTACTCGTGTTCTGTTCATGACAGTCGCAGCTTCTTATCGCCTCCTGAATTCAATCCCGTGAGATCTCCGCGATGACGGTTAACAGGGTCAACGTCTAATGAAGCTACGCGCAATACAGGGTTTTACGCGTTCGAGTGCCGTTAGTTATATCACATTCCGCAGTAATCAAGTAGAGAACGTAGCACTGGCGACGAGGTTTACCGTTGACAATGCCAACCGCTCCTGAACAAGTAGAATTTTTGCTCTAACATCAGGAAAAGCGATATGAACAGTTTCAAGTTCGTATCCCGGAAATCATAACGCAGAAAAAATGAACGTGTTGACGCCGTCAAGATCAGAATATTCCTAAGAAAACTTGGCACGGCTGAACACGAATGTTAGCGTAATTTCATCCTTTCAAATAACCCAAAAGATTTTACTTTCGATGCAACAGTTGACATCCTGTCACAAATCCTTGTGGAACAGTCACATTTGTCTAATATCTATTATCAGTACCTCCAGAGAACAAAAGCCGGTAATGATGACTGAGTGAAACATACAGGTTTAGTAAATCGAGAATGAGAGCGGTTTAAACTATCAGCAATGACGGAAGATCAGTCTAAGTGTCTTGTGTGCAGTCTCCGATTTCCTAAAGACAGTGACATCCGAATCAGAATTTTGAGAAAAATTGAACAATGGGTGCTCAGAATTATCATTATATGCACTGTTTTTTTTACGATTAAGTCTCATGGACATTGTTTTGTGAAAAAGTACCCACAAAGCAATGTAGTTTACTGATAAAAATAATAATAATTACTTTTTATAACCATAAAGGTTTAATCTGCATGAAAAGGAGCAGAGAAAAGAGTTTACGACAAGATTGACCACAAGAAGCGTGTGCAAATGATTATAAACAAAATAGATCCAGCTGTAAAACTGACAGTAATGAATAATAATTCTCGACAAATAATCAAACGATCATTGAGAACGAAGAATTAACTGAGAGCAATTTTTTTCATAGTATGAGAATCCTCGTGAGTAAACACTCATGATCCTACTAAAAACTCGAACTCAATCGTTGAGCTGTTGATTATTTAACCATTAGGCTGCCATATAATAGTGTACATTTTTAAATTTAATTAGTTCGCGACAAAGTGCTTTCAAAATAACCCAGTAACTGTTTAAAGCTTGTAGTATCGGTTATTATGTCAAGCCCAGTTTTCGGACAGGTCAATCTATTCATTCTACTTGAATCACATTTTGACTTTGTTAATTATTCACTTGATTGTTTTTATATGAGCGTATGTGTTTGTTCACTTTTTATCCTATTCATCACATCTCTTTAACTTATTTTTATATGATTATAAATATTTACTAACGCTTGACTAAATGAAGTTGACTTATTCGCCTTCTCCACTGTGTGTCATTTCGCTTCACTCTCTTCTCACCGCTTCCTTCGTTTTGTTCCCAAGATTTCCTGTCCAGATCAGTAAGTGTACATTCAAATGTCCATTCTCGTATTTGACTTATTTAATTGCGTTATTGACTAACACAATTTAAGACGATGTTTATATACAAAGATTAACAATATGTATATCTCAATGGCAATCAGAAACGATCTCACACTGGATTCAGATCCCCTGCTTAGTTAAAAGTTCAACAATATTGAATTTCAACAGTTACAACTTGTCAGATTAAAGCATAACACATCTAATCTACAAGTTAAATGATAATATTTACAACTCCTATAACAATAGTAATAGTCATAATGAAAACTGTCTTTATGAAGTTATAGAAATGATGATTTGCTTTAAAAATTTCAATCCGTAGAAAACTGAATATTAGACATTTGCAGTTGGTCTTTTTTTTTCCATGAATTAATTTTTTAAAGTATAAATAATCAACCAAACCAAAATGAACACAAGTTTAAATCATACTAAGGTAACCAAGTAGAATAAGTTTAATACAATGAATATGAAGATAAATTTGATCTTATATATAATGTCATCCTAATCAGATCTACATGATTCTTTATAAGATCTACCTGAATGTATTTGCATGAAAGATAGTGTGTATAGGAAATGCAATGTGTGTAATATGGAAGAATAGAATTAAATGATATTTGTATGCATGTGATACTTTATTTTTAGAGTATTACAAACATAGAGTGTAATATACAAATGAGTAATTCTTAAATATAACCAGTACAAACACATATAATCACGACTGGATCAAAACTGACAACAGATAACTCATTCAAATGTATTGTATTGAAATTAGAATTGCATAATTACGTATATACAGAATATTTATCATTTTATACAAACATTATAGTTTGTCAATAGTATGAAATGTGTGTTCACTTAAAGAAATGGTTCATTATTTTTATAATTAGAAAGGGGTTTTGTGGATATTATAGTAATTTAATAGTTAAATTCATGAGTCAATTGAAGCTAGACCACTATGGAAAACATGGAAGCACTGGATGACCGTTACGTCCTAGTATGGGACTCCTCAACAGTGCGCATCCACGATCCCGCTTACGGGATTCGAACTCAGAACCTATCGGCCTCACTCGCGGACGCTCGATCTCTAGACCACTGAGCCGGCATCTAACGGTGTTAATGTCTCACTTCAACCAATCCACGAAATTGCCCCACTGTCCACCATTGTCTTCAGTGAGTTAACTGTCTCACAACAGACCCGATTGAACTCCTCTGGTCACTACTTCTCGACTATAGATGTCTTCGAACCATTGCTCGTATATCCTGGGACCATCGAGTAAGTAACACAGTTGTTAGGAGACGGGTACTAGGTAAGGATGGCAAATCAATTGATGAAGTAGTGAAACTTCATCAGTTGAGATGGCTGGAACACGTGTTACGTATGCCCAACGACCGACTGCCACGATGAGCGATGTTCAGTGGTATGGGAGTAGATTGGAAGAAAGCTAGGGGTGGCCAGACCAAAACATGGCACAAGTCCATGAAGTCACTGACAAGTGGTCTGAGTCATGTTGGTAGATGTAGACTACCTGGTTGGGGACCGCGAGATGATAGCAACCGATGGTTAGAGACCTTGAATTACATGGCTCAAAATCGTTCGCAATGGCGCAGGTGCATCCACTCTTTGTGTTCTTCCAAATTCTAATCTTCTGAATTCTTCATGTCCCTTTTTTCCTCTTTCCAGATTTATTTCACTGAACTATACTCATTAAATAACATCTCCAAACCCTAATCTTCCCGATCACTGCTTACACTCTTTCTACCTCTACCACTACGGGATTTGGATCGACAACTGCATCTCTGTGTTAAGGTGGTGTGGCAACTCGAACTGATGTACGTACGTACGAAGTTCTACGTTGTTACTGACTGACTGAGAATTGCAGAAAATACTTCTTGAAGACCGTCACTAGTGAGTGTATGATGATTATAATCAGAAAAGAGTTTTGTGGATAATATAGTAACTTCATAGTTGAATTCATGAATCCATTGAAGCTAGACCACCATGGAGAACCTGAAAGCACTGAACGATCGTTTCGTCCTATTAGTGGTCTAGTTTCAATTGACTCATAAATTCAACTTATTGAATCTACTATTTTTTTCCTCATTAACAATCTACCCAATACTCAAATTATTTTTTTTTTAAATCATCTTTATTATCGATTTAATAAAAGAAAATAAAGGCACTTAAAATCAATTCATTTTCTCACTTTCTATCTAATAAGACCTTAGAAAGGAAAACAAGAACATCTTAACAACTAATTTTGTATATGATCGTAAAACAAAAGTCTTTTTTTTTCAAAACAAATTTATGTCAAGGTATATTAGTCAATAAAATATACCGTAATTCCAGTTAAAGTACATCACTTAAATGTGATTCAATAACAAACACACATACACACACATACAATTGAAGTAACTCTATTGGACAGTATCCATACAAGATTGATGTTGTCCAGGTGATTACTACTATTATTATTCAAATGAGCTAATATAAATAAAACAAATTAAGTCAATAATAATAACAATAACAATCATTATATCCTATTTGATATTACACATAATAGAATGTATATTAATCCAGTGAATTATTTAGAAAATTTCATTCATTCCCTTAATGATAATACTGATAAATTTGAATTGAATAAATTACTTCAAGCATTAAAATGTCGTCTAAATGATTATCAACGAATCTATCAATCGAATCATTCTAATTCTAATCTATCTAATCTATGGTTATTAATAACCGATTTAAATTTATCTAATATTCAATTAAAATACATACCAAATGAAAATATATTTAGTAATTTATTAAATTTAAAACGTTTATGGTTACATAATAATCAAATAATGAATTTAAATAATTGTTTAATTAAATGTAATAAATTAATAGAATTAAGATTAAATTCAAATCAATTACATAATATCTGTGGACAATTATATCAATTACATTGTCTTGAAATATTAGATTTATCAAATAATCATTTAAATAATATAATGGTAAGTTTAATGAGGATTTATAATGAGATTAGATGGTGGTTGGATATAGTCGACAGGAAACCCTGGACTCGGGTTTCGTGCTACTTGGCACTGGTTAGCAAGGTGTACCTGTAATATTGAGGGAACTGGTACTCCCTGGTGGATTCGATCTCGTGTCACGCAGCTTCACTGTCAGAGATGTTACCACTGAGCTATCCGAGCCGCGACCGACCTCCCATAGGATTGAGATGTAATCACAATTGATTGATCCCTGGGTGGCCACATTGCAATATAATCGATAGCATTCGATCTGTACTAATAAGGACTAGACACGCATGACATTGATCGTCACCCAGTGATCAATCAATTGAGGATTTATAATGTGAATATTATGTTTAACCGAGTTGAATACATTAATATTGGTACAAAGGAGCCACACAAGTCACTTGATTTGTATGTGAGCTGTGATACTGTTCGAGTGCCCAGATCGAAATAGATGGTTCTCTTAGGTCACACTCGGAGCTTTCGACTTAAATGTATAATCTACAAGTCAGTGGAGCAATGTCAGGAGATCCAGTCCCACGATAGCTCATGACCAATTATTTGGTTCATACACCATTTGTTCCCTCAAGATTCTGGAATTCATTGTAAGGTGTGATCTATAAACGAACTCACCAATGATAAGGTGAAACGCCCACCACCAGATTAACTTTCTTTGACCTTGTATGACTATGTCTTGTTTATTAACCAATCACAATTTTTATGTTCACTATAAAACAATATTTGCCTTGTTGACTCATATTTCCTATCCTCTAGCTACTGTTCGATTGGTTATTTGTGTCTCTGTTTTCCCTGTGTTGATAGACTGTATTGTTTATTTGTATACTAACGGTGTAAATTTATGTTTTAGAAACAGATAAAGTTTATCAAGCCAAACAGCTTACTTGTTCTGACTTTGGCTAAACCAAGACTCTGTGCTCGATAGTCTAGAGAATAGCTTAGAGTTACACCTGTAGGAAATTGCTTCCTACACTTATGTTCACCATTGGTTTGGAATCAAGGTTATCCAACTCACCTAAATGGATCCTCTATATCCACCAACCCGGTTAAAGCGCCAAACATTCGCTTTTCGTTTTCTCAATTTTGTAAACAACACCCCCGGTGCGAGAAGGCAGTGAGTAGTACTACCCTGATAGTGGATGTATACGTGTGGTCATGTGAGGAAGAGCGGACTCTCCTCACTCTCGGACGTACCAGGTCATTTGAGAGCGATAAGTTACTTAACTCCATAAAACAATAAAGTAGATTATATGTGTTGTTAAAAAAAGAACTATGTCTCGATTAATAATCCTTGTCTCGTCAATACTTAAAATTCGAACATTCAATCAGTTTAAATGAGATTAGTGGTATATATTTAACTGTTTGTTATGGTAGAGAAATTTTATGATTGTGCATTCAACAATTTAAATCGATATGAAATTATATGACGAAGTGACGACAATTTATTCCTTATATTAGAAAATTATTCTCAAGTATAAATGATATAGAATCCACCATGAAGAAGTCAAATATCAAACGTATTACTCTTAGATGAGTAGATCATCATCATCATTATCAGAACCAACTGTGGAAATTTGGTATGGTATTTAATAAAGACATGTTAAATTAACATAACTGCATACTTTATTTCGAATATGATATGTGAAGGAGCGTTTGAGTGTTAAACGTATTAATTCAATTGTATTGATTAATTTGTTCTCAGTAGTGTGATTAATTCGAATGTCTTAAACGTAAATCCTTCGATTATTCTTTTGGTTGACTACCTGTCTATCTATATCTCTTTTAATCATAGTCTATTACTATATCAGTCTATAAATATTTGAGACACATTGACACTTTGGATAGTTAAAACTCACTTGAATGTAATGCAGATTAGACTAATCTAGTGCAATCCTGAGTATAATTAAAATAATGCATTATGTCATTGAATAAACAAAGGGAATTCATATAAAATACCCTGACAAGTATATGTGTGACCAGATTGTTCGAAATGTATAGCGCAAATACATCACATTTTTCAGATCAACTACGTCTTCTCATTGTTCTGTCAAAATTTATAAAAGGGACTAATTGCTTTAGTTTTTCTTTTTGACAAAATCATTTACTTGAGCAGTACATTAGATCCAGATCCTTCGATTGTGTAGATTATTTTGAAGAAAGACTCTTTTGGAACAATGCGTCCAGAGTTGACCAGGTGCTCCTGTATTGGACTGATGATAACTTCGTATTCTCTTCTTAAAAGCCACGCTGCGTGATATATATATATATACGAATTTGATGATTATTGTTCAACTTTCATTATTGTAATGACCTTTATGTTTTTAATTTTTCTTCATATCTGTCATTCGAGCAATGAATTTTCGTAATTCTGACCCTATTCTTCTCTAACCCCGTGATTATTACGTAACGTCACTTGATAATTGCAGTCTTGAGTCACTTTATGACGTGATCTTTTCTATTCTTCTATAGACATAAATTTACCAAACAACTACAAATACGAATGTACAGCTTAAGTAAATGATTTCGTCGGAAAGTAATTTTTCTCACTGAATTGTTTTTTATTCGCTGAATGATGCGATGGGCTACAATTGCAGCTGACTCCGATTCCCGGAATCAATAAATAACTAATTCAATTATAAAGAGGTCTAATTCTCGTGTTATTCCAATAATATTATTATTTCAGTACAGTTTTGTTCTTTTAGTTCTGTTACAATTTGATTATCTTTACTACTGTACAAGTTAGTCAATTCAAGTGCTTAAATATACATTCAGGAACATTTATATTCTAGTTCTTATTTGATCTATCTGTCCTTGATCATAGATTATAAAGATAACGAGTATTATATCAAGACAATCAGTGTATAAAAAGCCAACACAAACAGAATAAATTCCCAACTGGATTTACGAAAGCCCAATAACTCACAAAGTCATCTGAGTACAAACGCAATTAAAACAAAGTGAAAACACATTATAACACAACTAACATGACAAGAAATGAAGAAACATCTTTAATGGTCATTTTTCAAAATAACACTTCTACACTTAACCTCAATGAAAACCGTTTATCAAACCCATCAATATGCATGAAATCAAATGTGGAAAACAACAAATCGGTCATTCTACCACAAATAAAGGACACAAAAGAAATTCACACCATATTATTGAGGTCATTTAGAATAAGCATAGCGCACACGTCACCAAAATCATTTCAATCAATCTTATGCAAACTAGAAGATGGAATGACTAAAGAAAAAATCTCCGAATATAGTTACAAAACAGACTATTCCGACTACGATAAATATTACATAGAACAAAGTAGTGACTTTGTAATTCTTCGTCTACACGGACACCAATTAGTTTTCAAACGCCACAACGAATCTTTGTTTGTATTAGAATATGTTGAAAATTTTGAGCACGTTGGACTTGGAAAATGTTGAATAGTTAAACAAAGGTAACAGAGAAAAGATCAGAGGAATTCTAGAAGCTGGGTATCCAGATCAATAAACACATTGAAATCAATCCAATTTACCAGCCAATCAAAGAAATCATAAACAGCTATAAGGTAAGGAATGAGATCAACTGGGAGAAACAACCAAAATAAGCAAATAGACAAATACATGATGAATGTTGACAACAACTAGTCAAGGTTAATGTTAACAAAACAAACTGTTAGTCATTGGAACAAAAAATCGTACTACCTTACCTCTATCTGAAGTCTGTAGTTACAATGCTGTCAAAGAAAGGTAATGAAAGTTTCACAATCAAGCAATCGGTATAGGAGAATGCAACTCTGACAAAATCATCACAAAGCGATCAGAATTATATATATATGAATTTCATGATTATTAATCAGTTTTTATTATTGCTTCCCGACTTAGTAGTGGTGTCGTACTCAACGTGGAACCTCAAGGTCTTGCGCTTAACCTCTTGAGCGTCACAGATGCACAATGCTGTAAAGTCTTATACCCGATGGCGGCCTAGTTTTAAATGACTATTTAAATGACATAAGCTCGTAATGAATTTCACTTTCATATCTGATTGATAATATTAACTAAAATAAATTAGTAAATAAGGTAGTTTATTGAATGAAGTTTATTACCGAACAAGCTTACAGTTTCGTTTTCGCAAATCGTTATCGGTGATATTCATACTGAATATAGATAATATATTTAATATTAGTTGGTGTGAGGTAATTAGCGTGATATTATGAACTGAATAAGTCAATTGTCTCGTTTTTAAATGTGACAGCAGATAAGGTGAATTCAAATTCCGCTGGGCTAATCAGCTCGTTGAAGATTCCCGATACACTCTGCTGATGAATATCAGTTAATATGAAACCTTAATTAAATATAGCTTCCTCGTGATTGTTTCCTACCACCACATTGTATATGATATTAACTTATTTGGACTAGTGGTCATAATGAAACTTGTTCGATGGAATCTCATCAATACTAAGGATTAGACAATGTATACTTCTCTTCTCAATGATCCAGCAGTATAGATGGCAATCTTAATTTCTTATATATACATATATTATATTTCATTTATATAACCTATTACTCTAGGAAATCAACAAAGAATTATCAAGAATGCATTTTCTACGTGAGCTTAATTTGCTTGGAAATCCCGCTGCTCTACAATCGAATTTGAAATCTTTACTATTAAGTTCACATTCAACATTGACTGTTCTGAATAAACATGAAATCTTAAGAGATCAATTTAAGTGGAGCAAATCAAAAACCAATTATTGTCCAAAGTATATTCAGAAACAATCAAGCAAAAGGTTGGTTTTACTTAACAAGTACTTTTTAGAATTCATTATTTACTCCCATAATTAGTCCACATAAAAAGTTTTATAAATTGATTAATTGATACTTTATATTTGAGGCTCTTTATAGTTTAGACGAATCAATCGTGTAGACATGAACATTGTAATAGAGTTGAAGTGATTCATAGCTCAGTAAGCTATTATTGTCGTACTATAAAGACATTTTAAAGAAATCTTAGCCATGATGATCTATGTCTACAGTGTCACTTTGTATTAATTACACGAGATACTACTGAGTATTCTTAATCATTGTAATACTACTGCTAGAGAGATTAATTGGGTTGACCAATTTAGTAACATAGATTTAATCTTGCGATAGTTTTATTTAGCTTCAGCATTGTTACAACACATGACCACATAGTGCTGCTTTTCTATAAAAATTGATAGGTTTGCTATTGCTGACATCCTAGCTACTTCGTACAACTCCAGACAAATTCAATACTTGAACTTGAACAACAGAGAAAAAGAGCGATCTATGAATAAAGGTTAAGTACAAAAAATGGAGTAAACTTATAGTCCCTATAACCTTGGTTGTCTATAATTTTCGCGAAAACATACTTAATATAGTAATGGCATGGGCAATTATCCAGTCAAAAACGACACGTGACCCTTCACTTTTCTAGATGATTCTGAGAGGCATCTGTTCGATGATGATTAAATAAAACATTTCCTGGGTTTTTATTGGCTTCAAGAAACTTTGATGAGGGATATTTTCGAACTCCACAACACATTCCTTCTTTAAGGAAAAAATATGATTTTTTTTCTCAGGTCTCTTTGCAGCCTGATGATTGGGTTACGTCTGCGTTCTATCTACCTCAGTTTTTTTTCTGATCCGCTCCTTTCTTTTTGTATTATCCTTTGAAGTGTCCGTAAGTACATCCAACAGAAAATTCCCCTGTACTACTAAACAAAATCAATAATGATTATTTTTAAAACGTAAATCTTACTGAACTTTTAACCCTAACTATTTATTGAGTTGAATCATTACTTGCAAATAACTGACATCATGTTCACATTCAATCACACAACTGATCTAGCATAGTAAGACAATTTGCATCGAGAAGTGATTTTAGTTAGGCAATCACTGAAAACAGTGGAGTACTGGATTTGTTTCGTTTATTAAAAATTACTATGAGTTAATTGAAGTTGGAACTGTGTGCTGATGGATGTTAATTTGGTGTAATTGGAAGGTAAAATTGTTGACGCAAAACATTTAGGCCCGTTGTTCGAAGCCTGATAGAGTTATGACTGTTCATTGTAGTTGGCTGCTATAAACATATCTGGTGTAGAGCAGCCAGATATCTCGAATGAAAAACACACGGTTAACGTTAGAGATTGAGGGTAAAATACATTCTGATATGCAGCATTTACGCGCTAAATGAAAGTGCTCAATATGACATACTTAGCGTATAGTAAAAACATTTTGAATAACTTCAGAGGTTATTTTGTATGGAATGTATCTAGATTTTAGAATGTCATCATGAAAACTTTGATTACCTTACACACTGTCAAGTCACTGAAATACAACTAGTATTCATTGGTGTTGTTTACTTGTCTCTTCCCATTGTTATTTAGGACTGCAATTGATCAGTCTCTTGTCGGCATATGTACATACTGTGCGTATTGCCTCGATATTACCTGAAGTCACAAGCCTTATAAGCAAAGATGGATAGTGGTTAGGAATGGAATCCAGGACGCGCACCACTTCGTCCTATTTGGGACTTGTCAGCTGGACTTACCTGCATCCCAGAGTTGATATCCACTCTGGAACTCGAACCCAGTACCGTTCGCTCCAAACGCCATCGCGTTATCCACTTAGCTAATATTCACCTAGGAAGAAAATTCAATACCTTATATCTTAATACAATTGCTGAATAGGTTAAAGAATATATGGTTTAGTCTAACCCAATAATAGGAACTATGTGATTATAAACTGACAAGAAAACAAATAATTCCTCTTACAAATATGCTCGTCAAAAGTAATAAGAAACCTAATAAATCTTTTTGTTATTAAATTAAAAGAGTGAATGATATTTAGTGTTAATATTCAAGATATTTTGCAGAGGAATATGAAAATGGAAATTAGGGGTAAATATTTGCCCCCAAATGCCCTGGTGCGGCCGAGAGTGGGGAGAGTCCGCTCTCCCTCTCCAAATGCTCTCACATGGCCACAAGTATACAGCCACTGTCAGGGAAGTCCTACTCATTGCCTTCTCGCAACAGGGGTGTTGTTTACGAAATTGAGAAGACGAAATGCGAATGTCCGGCGCTTTAACCGAATTGGTGGACATGGAGAGTCCACCTAGGAGAGTTGGAAAACCTTGATTCCAAACCAGTGGTGCACATGGGCTCCAGTATCCTAAGGGAACAAATGGCGTATGAACCAATTGTTGGTCACCGGATACCATGGGACTACATCTCCTTACGATGCTCTACTGCCTTGTGGATCAAACCCTCAGGTCGAAGGTTCGGGGTGTGGCCCTCTAAGAAAACCACCTGCTTCGGTTTGGGCACCCAGGCAGTATCACAGCCCTCACATAAATCAAGTGAAATTTGTGTGGTGCATATGTATTTGGTGCATCCTTGTACCAATATCTATGTGTACAAATAAAAATAATAAAATAATTTCTTAATCAATAACTGTCGGGGTTTAACTGATCGCATTTTATTTTATCGTTTCACGTTAAATTAGATTCAACCGTAACTGTTGAACTTCTGTTACATCTTTTTTTGTGTGATCAAATATTCCAGAGGAATTTTAGTTCCATTGGAGTTAATTTGAAATAGTTTGATTCATGAATATGTTGCTTTTATGGATCTTTATTCAGACACCAAAAAGAGTTAGACTTATTTGTCAAACATTCACAATGATTATTTAGTGATAACCTATGTTTTGTTAGTTTAGTTCTAAACGATGTTTGAATTCTTTCAATTAATAGGCATCGTATATCCTATGTTTTAATGTTAATTAGAACTTATATGTAGGAATTATTTCCTATCTTTAGAGGCATGATACTCTTCATGGGATTTGATCCTGCATTAAACAATGCTAAATATTACTTATTTTCCTTCAGCTCTTTAGGTAACCTTTCTTCATATACAAAATTATCATCAATACATTTCTATTCTTGTTCTCTTCTTGATATACTATTTTCTTGACTAATAATAATATCCGATAACGAGTATCATTTGAACTTAAGTAAACCTATATGTTTTAAAATATATATATATAAATCAGTTTCACGAGACAGCGTTTGTTTTATTCTTTGAAAATTTTTTAATTTCACTGTTAATTTTCGCTGTTTTTTTTCATAAAACTTTAAAATAATCATAAGTCAGTCATCTACAACGTAGGACCACGCACATATATGTATCGATCCAAGCAGCCACACCTTATCAGCACAACAAGGTGAACAGCAGATTCATAGAAGTAGTTACTTCAATGGTGGTAATATATAAAAAAGGATTGCATATAAGGATATAGCACAGGAAGAAAGAATTAGTTGGTAGAAATATATAAAGCGATTTTAATCTCACGGTTTAAGGAAGTACAAAGAGTGTATACACTCATGCCATTGTGACCTATTCTGAGCCATGCCACCCAGTCTCCAACCACTGGTTACGATAGTCACGCCGACCACAACCAAATAATCTGCATATACCAACATGGCTCAGACCAGAAGTTGGTGAATTTACGGATTAATCCCACGTTTTAATTTGACAGCCCCTAACTTCCTTCCAACCATCCTCAACACTAATCAGCATTGCTCATCGTAATAATCGGTGGTTGAGCATGCTTAATACATGATTCAACCATCTCAGTCGGTGAAGATTCACAACCTCATCAACTGACTTCCCATCATTCCCTAATACCTTGCGTCTAACATCACTATTACTTAATCGGTGATTCCAATAGATGCGAGTAATATTTCTAAGACATCTGTGGTCAAATACTAGTAGCTTACGAGTATCTTCTACCCCTAATGCCCACGTTACGCAGACGTACAGTAAAACAAAACGAACTGTTGCGCAGTATACTCGTCCCTCAATTGATAGACGGATATCTTACCTTCGTCATAGGTGACGTAAGTTGGCAAAAGCCAAACGTGCAGAGATTTTGTCAGATACCAAACCACTTGGGCTGATCAGACTTCCAAGATAAGTAAAGTTGTCGACGCATTATATATATATATATATATCCACAATTTAATTATGAGAAATTTTAAGTGTCGCATTAATGAAGAATATTTTTAGTTCAGAATGAGGATGTTGCGTTATCCTAACTTACAGAACTCATTATTAATACTGCCTTTATACAGTTGTGGTGTGGGCTACTGATGTCGATAGATGTAAATAGTATGTATCATCAATCGAAAGTGAAATAACGGGCGGCAGAAGGTTGAGGAGATCGAAAAAACAGAACGAGAATAGAGAATGATTGATGTAAGAAGGAAAGAACAATCAAATCTGAGACGATTGTTTGACAATTTGCAAATGAAGTATTTACTGTATGGTTCCCAGATTTTACTAACATTCATTTAGAAGTAAATGAAAATTGATCAACCAACCGTAAATTGTTCATTTAAAATATTTCTGTATAAATATAGTTATTCCAAACAAACTATCTCTGCAATCTATTTTTATGTAAATTCTAGGAAAAGAAACGTACCTATTCAAGCAGAAGCTCAGGAAAAACTAGTCCAATCTCCAATGAATCCTGACAAAGAAATTGAAGTGTTTGAAGAAAATTTGAAAAAAAGATTTCAAGCTAAAACGATTACAGAATTTAAATGTTTCGACTGGTCAATGATACCGAACAGTGAAATGAAACGATTAAATTCAAGAACTACTGTGCCGAAAAATATTGTAGTTCAATCACAATTGTAATTCATGTGATCCTATAGAAAGAAATAACAAAATCCATAAATAGGATTGAACAAAGTTTTAGTGACATTAATTATGATTAACAGATCACTGAGTAATTGTCAATGCCATATTTATCTGATCTGTTGACCATAACTAATATAATAGCTCGGTGATGATACGGTTTCGAACCAAACAGTAAGCATTAATTACCATAAAATCGCAGGTACGCGTTGTCAAAGAATGCAAACTAGCATAAGGTCTAAGTCTAGAGCTTCCTGTTGACTAAATCCAACCACCTAGAAATTAGTTATGAAGATAATTAGATTTTTATTCGTTGACGGTACCAAGAAATTTTGAAATTCGTTTGTAGAAAGTAGGGATTATTCTGTGAAGAAGATAGTCCTAGCGGTATTTAGTTACTAAAGCTAGTTGTTGCACCATCAACGGTATTCGGAAATCTAGAGTACGAAGACGAAGAGTATCAGAACTTTGTGATATATTAGCACAATGGATCTTGAACAATCTGATCACAATCATACAAGTTAAAAACATAAAAATAAAAGGTCGAACAGAGGGTAGAGGGAAACGATGATAATCAAATATGAAAACTCATCACGCTGGATAATAAGCTAATATTATCACAGTAGGTTTGAGGTGAGAACCAACTGTATTTTAATACACAAATGGAGCTTGAATTTTCGTATGGCTAAGGCTTCGATAGACTATAGCATACGTCATTTAACGCTTTTGTACAATACAAAAAATGCCATGTTGCGACCAATTTTATGACCTGTTTCAACTAAATGTTTAGCAATAGGGGATGATAGATGTTTATCATCTACTCTTATTAGGTCATTTGAATATAACTGTTTTTGCAACCCTTTAGGTATATGTTCAGATACCCTGATTTGGAGATCATGATTGCTCCTCCCTATGTATGTGTGATCACACATATTTAAATTAGTAAACATAGTGGAATATGACGCAATCACTTTCAAGTCTTTAGGGTTTTGGATGAAGCATGGATCTTGTTTTTTCCTTGATGCCCCCGAATGCCCTGGTACGGCCGAGAGTAGGGAGAGTCCGCTCTCCCTCTCGAAATACTCTCACACGGCCGCGCGTATACAGCCTCTGCCAGGGAAGTCCTACTCATTGCCCTCTCGTGGCGGGGGTGTTGTTTACGAAAATGAGAGGACGAAATGCGAATGTCCGGCGCTTTAACCGGATTCCAAACCAATGGTGCACATGGGCTCCAGTATCCTGCGGGAACAAATGGCGTATGAACCAATCGTTGGTCACCGGCTACCATGGGATTGCATCTCCTTACGATGCTCCACTGCCTTGAGGGTTAGACCATTAGGTCAAAGGCTCGGGGTGTGGCCCCCTAAGATAACCACCTGCTTCGGTTTGGGCACTCGGGCAGTATCACAGCCCACACACAAACGATGAACTCTATGACTATGGCAACTACTTTTCTCGCTCCGATAAACAATCAATCGATTCAAATAATTATCATTTCTATTATTGTCATTATTAATACTATTATTATTATTACCATTATTATTATTATTATTATTATTATTATTATTATTATTATTTCCACATTATTCACCCTCTTTTATACTTATACAGCGGCTCGTCTTTGGTGGAAATCCGACTGTATATAAACGTTCTCGAGTCACTGTCCGGTTGAAAATTGTATGTTACCACCGAATACGAGAACTGAAGCAGTTTTTCTGACACCACGTGCACCATTCAAACTGGCTGCCTTCAACGTTCGCACACTAGTGCAGGTCGGACAACAGATAGGGCTGGCTATGTCTTTGGAAAGTCTTAATATTGATGTTTGTTGTCTATCCGAGACCCGTATTCTAGACTCTGGCGAAGTACTAAAAATTCACCCTCCATCTGTCGCTTTGAAAAGCTTGTTTTACGCGCTTATCCGGGGACCCCGAGGCATCTTCGTCTGGTCTTGCTGGCGTTGGTGTCGCACTAAGCGCTAGAGCTGAGGCAGCACTAGTCGATTGGAACCCCACTAACAGTCGGTTATGTGCTGTTAGATTAGAAAGTTCCATCAAAGTGAGAAGAAATCGGCGTGAGAAACGATGTCTTTTCGTCATCTCCGCCTATGCCCCCACAGATTGCAGCCCGGATGCAATCAAGGATGAGTTTTACCATCAGTTATCTGTTCTTCTCCAGAAAGTGCGTTCGACAGATATTGTAGTACTAGCCGGAGACTTGAATGCTCAGGTCGGGCGTCTAGGCACAGAAGAGAATCGTTTAGGTGGCCGATGGGGACTCGTTAGTCGCAGGTCAGATAACGGGGACCGTCTACTGCAACTTCGCACAGACCACAACCTGTTTCTGGCTAGCACAAACTTTCGGCACAGTCATCGCCGATGTGCCACATGGCGTCTTCCCTCTGCATCTCAAGCCTGGACTCAGATTGATCACATCGCGATCATCTACCGCTGGCGTGGTTGTGTACAAGACTACCACTCCCTTTGGAGTACCTATCTGGACTCTGACCATGCCTTGGTCTGCGCCAATCTTGCCTTACTCTTCAGTGGACAACGAAGTGACCGCCATCAACGGATTGATATTAGCAAGCTGGTTGCAACTTCTGTTGCAAATAAGTATCGAACCGAGCTAGCCTCTAGGCTAGCTACCACTCCACCGAAAAGTATAGATGAGCATTGGTTGCAATTGCATGACGCCATGAAAATGGCGGGAACAGTCAGTTGTGGGTTTGCGAAACGTCCCGCTTTTAAGCACTGGGTTTCTTCTGGTTCCTTACAACTCATTGAAGACCGTCGGTCTACTCCGGGTGACCGTGAGTTTGACCATAAACGAAGGATGCTACTTAAGGAAATTGGGCAAAGCTTGCGTAAGGACCGAGAAGCCTGGTGGTCGAAGCTTGCTAATGAGCTGGAAGCAGCAGCTGCATCTGGTAACTACCGGAAGCTCTTCCAGCTCATCCGAGCCACTGGCAGCAAGAAGTCTGGTGTGAGTGAAACAATCTGCGAGGATGATGGGATGCCAATCACTAACATCCATCGACGTCTTGGACGATGGGCAGAATTTTTCGAAGGGCAGTTCAACTGGCCTGCTGCTCCAGCAACATTGGTTAGACTGTCCTGCCCTCCATGGCCGGTGACGACTGATCCACCAAACGAGGAGGAAGTCCGCAAGGAACTCCAACTCTTGAGGCGTTACAAATCACTTGGCCCAGATGACTTACTTCCGGCTCTTTAAAGATGGTGGTGACTTTTTGACTAAGGAATTGACGACGTTGTTTACAAAGGTTTGGGAATTAGAGAGTGTACCAACGTCATGGAATGAGTCGATAGTTGTCCCTATCTTTAAAAAGGGTTCACGTCGTTCCTGCAACAACTATCGGGAGATAAGTCTACTTCCGATTGCATCCAAGCTATTGGCTTCCGTTATACTTCGTAGGTTGTTCAAAACCCGAGAAAGATTGACTCGCGAGGAGCAGGCTGGGTTTCGTTCTGGTCGAGGATGTATTGATCATATCTTCACCCTCTGCCAAATGTTAGAACATCGCCATACTTATCAAAGGTCAACAATCGTAGTGTTTCTTGACATCAGGGCTGCCTTCGATTCGTTGGACAGGACTGTTCTCTGGGATTGTCTATTGAAGAAGGGTGTGCCTGAGAAGTTTATTAACATCCTATAAGCCCTATATACAAACACCCCAGGCAGAGTGAGGGCATACAACCACCTCTCTCCATTGTTCCATTCGAGCAGTGGGGTTAGGCAGGGTTGCCCAATCTCACCATTCCTCTTCAACTTTACCATCGATGACATTCTGGAAACAGCTCTGATGAATGTAAGTAATGGTGGTGTGGATCTGTTGCCTGGAGAAAGACTTATCGACCTTGAGTATGCGGACGATATTGTCTTACTGTGCGATAATCCACAAGGCATGCAATCCGCATTTAATCAGTTGGCAATCAGTGTCCGTAGGTATGGTATGTGCTTTGCACCTTCGAAGTGCAAAGTACTTCTACAAGACTGGCAGGATTCTAATCCTGTACTCACCCTGGATGGTGAGCAGATAGAAGTAGTCGAGAAGTTCGTGTATCTGGGTAGCTGGATAAGTGCTGGTGGGGGTGTGAGTGATGAGATCAATGCACGTATAGTGAAAACCAGAGCGGCTTATGCCAATCTGGGCCACCTTTGGCGCCTTCGTGATGTTAGTCTGGCTGTAAAAGGTCGGATCTACAACGCGTCGGTGAGAGCAGTTTTGCTCTATGCTTGTGAAACCTGGCCTCTCCGAGTTGAGGACGTTAGACGACTCTCTGTGTTCGATCATCGTTGTCTCCGAAGGATTGCTGACATTCAGTGGCAACACCATGTCAGTAATGCAGAGGTTCGCCATCGTGTGTTCGGGCACAGAGATGATAACGCGATTGGTGTCACCATCTTGAAACACCGACTTCGGTGGCTTGGACATGTTCTACGAATGTCGTCCCAGAGAATTCCACGTCGTGCATTATCTGCCGACTCTGGGACTGGTTGGAAAAAGCGGAGAGGTGGTCAGTGCATGACATGGTGTCGTGGTATGAAAGAAAGCTGCAAAGGACTGGCTTGTGTCGGTCCTTCACGACTCCCTGGTTGGGGTCTGAGAGATGGTGCTACACAGCGGCTAGAGACGTTATCAGATATGGCTCAGAATAGAAGCCAGTGGCGATCCTGCTGTAACCTTCTTTTACTTTCTTCATAAAAAGTGGTTGTGTCTCCCTTACTTGAAAGATTACTTCTGATTGTACCTTTCCGTTCCATCGTTACGACCACACTACCTTACACCAATCTCTTCGTTATTGTTTTTTTGCGCTCCTTAGTTTTTTTCTATCTCTCCTCGAATTTTCATTGTTTTGTGTGGCGCACATATATTGGCGCTCTCTTGTACCAATATTTATGTGTTCAAATAAAATAAATAATAATAAATAATTTTTCCTTGATAATGACCTTTCATGTGCAGTAAGTTTTGTTAATAACCGATTTAAGCTTTTTTTAAATAAAAGGCGATCTGACTCACCTTTGGAAGGTAAGGTGATATCTGTCGACATAAGTAGCATATACTACAACATTACAGTCACAAAGAACCTACATACATTCATAATTCAGGCTTTAGTTTCAAATCGATTCAATATAGTGAAAATTCCCATTTTGCCATTTGGTAAATAAAGAAGGAACGAATTGAGCGAAGAAATTTCTTTTCAACTGGTTTTTCATCATGACTCTACACTAATATATATACGTTTTACAATAATAATATAATACTCATCGAGTGGATACGTTACGTAATAATGATATAATGACATTTAAATTAACATTGAGTAATTGGAAGAAAGAGGATTATTAATATTCAAAGTAATTATTCGATAATCATGACGTTGCTTAATATAAGTAACAGAGAAGGAATAGAATTTTAACGGATGGCCAAAAAAACAAATGGAAGAAGTACAAAAATAGTTCTGCTGCAAGCACCGTTATACCTATCACCAGGGTAGTGAAAGTGGAACTATGAAAAAGAAGGGTAGACAGGAAGTCAGAAGCAGGTCAATACACTCATTTCCATAGTGCAGTTCAAATCAGATACAAAAGGAACTTGATAAAGATCTTGACACATCGTGCTAGAATGATCTGCTCTGAAGACACCATTGAAGAAGAATTGAACAATATTTGGAACCTACTTAGTCTGAATGGGTACCCCATGAAATTCATCGACAAACATATGACGGAGAAAACAAGAACAAAAATACCCACCGTCCTCATGAAAGTATTGTTCATAAAACTACAATTCATAAATGACACGATTGAAGAAGTTATGACTCAGAAACTACGAAGAGATGTACAAAAAACATTTAATGCCGCCAAATTAAATGTCATCTTCTACAACCACCCGAAAATAAGAACATCCATTAAAGACAGACTGCCAGAATTCGCCAAATCTATGTGTATCTATCGTTTCAACTGCTCCTGTAGAGCCAGTTACACAGGGCTTACAATTCGGCAGGTCCGTCACCACATTACAGAACATCATCCGACATGGCTAAGCAAAGGACAGGTGAAAGTGATCAAAAGTTCTATTCTCTCTCATTTGGTTGACACAGGCCATCAAGTCGAATGGAATAAAGCTTTTAAGGTTATCCACAATATTCCATCAAATCTACCACATGGTTTACGAGTGCGCCTTTTGCACATTGCGGAAGCCATCGCAATCCATGTTCACAAACCTGACCTTTGTGTCCAAAAGAAATTCGTACAACCACTTACCCTGCCCTGACCTTCAGTATAAGGTTTCCGTCATAAGAACTATTTTTCATACTTCTTCCACTCCTTTTTTTAAAATGTTTGTAATTTTTGTTCCTATTGCTTTTGAATTTTATAACTTCTCAACATTCATCTCTTGATTTTTACGTAACTACTTATCCTATTGACCATCCGTTAAAATTCTGTTCCTTCTCTGTTACTTATATTATGCAACGTAGCAACGTCTTGATTATCGAATAATTACTTTGAATATTATTATTGTAATATATATATATATATATATATATATATATATATATATATATATATATATTAGTGTAGAGCCATGATGAAAAACTTATTGAAAAGAAATTTCTTCGCTCAATTCGTTCCTTCTTTATTTCTCAAATCGATTCATTGAATTAGGCAATGAGTTACCAGTTTATACAATTAAAGCTGAAATCTTAATAAGTTTAATGAAATATTTAACAGTCCAAAACAAGATACAATGGTTTTGAGTTCAATAGTTGTTTAAGTTGATAAGAACTGTTTGCTGACCAGTTTTATTTGATGATAATATCCAACTGTAGGACGATTATTTTGATAAGAAGCGAACAGTCAAACCATTTATGTTTAAAGTACATTATCATTAAAATAAAGAACATGACTGGCTAACAGATCTATCTAGTCAAACAATATAATGTCGAATAAACATACTTAAAAGATAGTTCATGTGTAAAATAAGACCTAAAGAATGCTATATGTAAGAAAAACTGTCAAATGCTTCACAATTTAACTCCAAAAATATTGATTTTACACTAGCTACTGAGTATTCTTTGAATGATGGTCAACGATATTAGTTTTATTTGGTATGCTACACAGAATTTCTGAAATTCCTACAAAATATAACAAACGAAATCCACTGTGCCGTTGAAGAAATAGAAACAATGCAAAAAAACAAAATTTCCTTGCCGACAATAACCTTTACTAAAACTGTACACTCTAATAGTTGAACCATGATTCGATAAACGCTTCACCACTATTGAATACTTGGAAGCACTGGAAGGCCGTTTCGTCCTAGCGTGAAACACCCCTGCAATGAGCATCCACAATTCCACATACGGGACTCAAACTCAGGACCTTCGATCTCGGACACGAACACCAAACCTCTAGACCACAGAGCCAGCACCCAATGATGATGTAACTATACAGCTATATTTTTTAATGATTTAATGAATGAAGGCTTAGTGGCATACACCAGTAAAAATAAATACATTCTTATGTGTCCAACCACGCAATTTTTTAAATACACCTTCGAAATAAACAAAATTACAAAGTAACTTTCATTCATTTAAGATTTTCATAAAACGTCAAATCTAGTATTTTAAATCATCTCAATACATATATGAACGTATATTTCTTTGCAATGATAAGGGTGTGATCTACTCTGAGCTGAATGATTTCCTTCGAGAGCAGTTCATTTTCTTTCAAAACAATAATACTCTTATTATATTTCATAAAGAAGACAAAGAAATGCTTTACAAATTAACAAACTAACCATAAAGAATACGATACCTTATCACATCTCCCTGAACATACATCGAGAAATTTGCAACAAATACCATAAACACAAATTTGTTCTCGACAATCTATGAGAATAATAATAATAGTGAAACAAAAGATCTATGTTATTGTGACCTATAAAAACCGCACTGTGATTTTGATGATCATAACAGAAATAAACAGTTGCATGGAATACTTTTTTAAAAGAAAAACAAACAATGATAATAATAATATTGATACAAGTCGAATATAATTATAAACAAACAAACAAACAAGGCAATGTACATAGAAACAAGAAGAAAATATTTGTGCACAACTTCTTTGTTTATATATATATTTTTCTTTAAAAAAAAATTTACAAAATTAAACAAGCAATAAATTAATAAGCAACCACATGAAGACATAGATAGATTCATTTTTCCGAGTCTATGAATAACATTATATGCATATAAATTACGTAATGTATAACAGGAAATTTTAAAAAAAATCAATAATATTAGTGCTTTTATACACACGTGACAAGTTTAATATCCATCTAAATAGAGAAGAAAACAAATGGGATACACTTTTACATCTACTACTTACTGTACGAAAAATTTCATCATTAATGTGATAGAAAATATCTGAGTAGAAATGAATCAGTAACACTAGACACTACTACTTATTTATCAACAATAACAGTAGTAGTAGTAGTAGTAGTATTAAGAGTAGTAATAATAATAACAATGAAACAAGTCACATAAAGAACAAGTGATGTTGATACATTTTTTTTCATGATTTTATTATGTATTATAAATGTGAATAAATATGAACGGATGAATGGATGTAGGTGTCATTACCAAGGTTTGATTTGATAATTTCGAATAAATTGAGCATTGAATGGATGGCTACTATGCAGATGAAATTATACACATATGAATAAAAAGCAAAATATTATATCCGAGTGTGTATACATACACATACAGAAAAAAGAAGATGAATAACAATATTTAAAATTATTACTACCCTTAATATCAAATTAATGAGGAATTACTGATGTATATATATATATATATATATATATATATATATATATATATATATATATATATATATATATATATATATATATATATATAAATGGGACAGAAAGAAAGGATAAAATAAATGAATAATTCAAATGAGACAACAGTTCGAATTCAGTCAATATACAGTTTTGAAGAGAGAAGTTAATGCTTCTTAGATGAAAGAATAAAACACATAAAATTACAAGTCAAATACATACATAAACACTGTGTGCTTGCTTAGTTCAACGCTGTTGTCATGCCTAACATGTAATTTCCACGAAACATACACATAAACTCATCAACTCACAAAAGAGGAAAAAATTACAAATTACAATCATACATTGCTTGCATATTATAAAGTAAGAACGAAAAGAAAAGAACCATCACCTGAGTCACAAGAAAAGATTACTTGGTTCTGAAAACCTAATATAATAACGATTGCCATTCCAATCAATGAAGAAGAAAATTTCAAAACAATGCACAGAATCACAGTTTTATTTATTTATTAAATGTGATAAAAGCAACAAATGGACTGAAAACAAAAAGTTTAAGTTTTATGTAAGAATTATTCGACAGTGTCTACATAAAGCTGATCGCCATGTTTTGATTTCATTTGATGCATTTATTGCTGTTAGTACTAAGATTCTACTTTGGAGACATTTTTATGATTCACCAAATCTAATGGATTATAATCACCAAAATAACCGGTCCTAGCGCCTTTACTAACAGTTAGACCATTATTGGTAGATTTCTGTTGAACATTAGAATGATGATTGTTCAGTTGACATTTAGAGTCCGTGACAATAGAAGAACAACCATTGAACATGTTCAATGTTTTGCAAGATGATGGATAACAATCACCATTTAATTGTGAACATTCAGTGGATTGAGTTAATTTATTTTTAACTGGATGATCATTTTGTTGAGTGTACATTTCAATATGATGAATGGTATCATCATTAGTGCCGTTGGATAAGATTGAATCTATAGGGAGATTTGTCGAATTTATTTCTTTATCCATTTGACTCCAATGATTCAAATGGGATTTATTGTTAGACCAATCCAAATTGTTAGAGATACCACCATTCATATGATTGTTACCATTAGTCAAATAATTATTTCGGTCCTTTCAAATGATAAAGATTTTTTTTTAAAGATAGAAGAAGCAGTGAATAATATTAAATATCGATAACAAATACACACGTAATAAATCACTGAAGACCGATTCAGTCATATAATGATTAAGTGCTTGCCAGGAAATCTGAAGCTCTTCCATTCGATCGCCGACAAAGGCGTGGATGCACACACTGGAAGTAAAACAGCTGTGCAGTACATTCTGATTTTCAACGGCTATTTAAAGTCAATCAGCGATATAAACTATGTCCTTATATATTAAGCCAGATGTTTACTATGACCGTTTACACACAAGCAACCAATGATAAATAATCCAAGAACATCCACTTATTTTACTACAGCTTTACATTTTACGAGCTGGAATATTTAATTGTAAAGTTTTCATTGTCTCATCACCAGACAATACTATAACGAATATGAAATTTCCAAAATATCAAGTTACAAAATCTTTCCTTTAAGAACACTTAATCAGATTAGATATTTTTGTAAAACAGTAGTACCGTTGAAGCTAGCGATATCAAAATAATCTTTTTTGATATTCTTTACATTGTTAGGTAGAGGGAACAATTATAAATATATACATAGATAAACCTCTTAAAGATAAATTAAAATTTCAACAAGTATAGTATATATAATACTTTTTTTTAATTATTTGTACAATATAAGTCAATTTTTTAAATCACTTAAACACATTATAGGTAGAAATAACGGTGACTAGCAGTGGAATCTAGACGTGCCTTTGGCGCTATTTGGGACTCGTCAACTGGATGTGCCTGCATTCCGGGGTTGATGTTCACTTTGAAACTCGAACCTAGTACCATCTGCTTCATACGCCATCGTGTTATCCACACCAAGTCCCGGAGTGAACATCAACTGTGGTATGCAGGTACATCCAGCTGACGAGTGCCATATAGGACAAAACGTTGGTCCTGGATTCCACTGCTAGCCACCATCCATCTATGTTCATAGTGCGTGTGAACTAAGACAATTCGAACAGCATGCACATATGCCAATAAGAGACTGATCAATTCCAGTCCTAAATATCAATGTAAAGAATAAAAAACCAATACAAAAATGAATTTAAACACTTTGTTATCATTTTCATTTAGGTAGGCAGCAATGTACTCTTTAGATGTCAACAGGTTAATTTGTCAATTACAGCACTTATGGATTGCTTAAGCTTGAACCATATTGGTTAGTGTGAGATCTGATGATATTATATAGCCTGTTGTTGTGAGTGTGGGAGTTAATGATACACTACATGGTTGCGCAAACCGAAGTTAAATGGGGTTCGGACCTGAGACATAGTTGCTGAATGTTGAAGTCTTGACTTTGTATATTAAAAAAATATAGTTTGCTCAAACAAATTTTTGTGTGTATGTATTTTGTACACCGCATTATGTCTATTCGATCATAATTTATGAACAAAAACTTTAAGAGAAAGGGAAAAAGCACGATCTTACTAAGACTGGAAAAAGAGTATACTTTAGTTAAACTGAAAAATAATGAATAAAATGATTGCAGACGTCTTATTACACTATACAAATTTATCAAAAAGACTAATTGCTTTGAATACCATAGTTGTTTACCATTGATTTTTAGCTAATTTATTCGGCAAAATGAACTAAGTCTTTCTACACAGTAATCAATTTCTTAAAGCAATAATAACATTAAAACAACTGCATACTTTTTCATCAATTCGGTCTGAATTAAGAGGTGACTGTTCATTAGGAGTAGAATTTGATGAACATTTTTGTGAAAATTGATCCGATGAACTGTGATCTGACAAATCGTCCATCTGATTTTCATCTATACTATTATTGATCGATGATGAATAAGTAGGTTGACATACAGATATTGTCGGACCTCCACCATATATATTGAACAGAAGACTCCATACTTCAGCAGAAACACATTCGTAATTACCAAGTGGTATTGATGAAAGAGTAGGATAATTAAATGATCCACTGTTACGATACGAATAAAGGGATTTATTGCATGGCATAATGTCGGAATTATCAATTGGACCTGGAGCTTCTGTAGTAGAGAAACATGTATATGCATAGAACAATATTAAAATCAACAAAATGCTGCATATACAACAGAAATCAATTTGTACTAGTGTTAAAATGTATTCCAATATCAGAAGACTCGTCAGCAATATATAATAGATCCATACGCATAAACGAAAAGGGTAAAACAGAGTATGTATGAATAAGAATTTAAACCAGAGATTAACAGTCAGTGGGATTCGTTCTGAAGCATTCAATGAAAAATTTTGATGAGCTTAAAAGTGTAGAAAAAGACAATACCGGGCAAACAAATGTGTAAATCAATTAGTCTGAGAACAAAAGACTATATTTGTTAATTTATTTCTACTAGTTTACAAGGAAAGGTCGAAATCACCTAGTGATAATTTAAGTGCAAAAAAGGATAGTCGAACAAAGTGACAGAGAGACAGACTTCATGAACATGGAACCAGGTACAAATGTGTGCTGGTCGGAGTGTCCATACTACATTAGGATGAACAGATGAAAATAAAACAAATAGAAATAATTCAACAGCAACGATAAAAAGAATAAACCTTGGGAATATTGTTTAAAAAGATAGTGGAAAGGTATGTGTGAAGAGGTATTGGAATTCAAAATCGGAAGAAAGATAAAGAGTGACGGCATCGTGGTCATTTTTAATGATTTTGAGCTATATCACACAACGCCTTTCTAATCAGTAAGTCGCGCTTATCGTGAGAACCTTAAATAGATGATCGGCAGCTAACAACATGGTCACAGGGGCAATTAAAAAGCTTGCGCAACATTTCTGAGATAATGGTAACGAATGTTCTCCAACTAAGAATAGATACTCTCGCTACTTTCAGTTATGCATATTAATAAAAATAACTGTACCAAAACTTTTAAATATATGAAAAAACCCATTTGTGATGAGATAAGCAACGAGAAAGTCTAACTGATTATTAATACTTAGGTTTGAAACCGTGACCTAATATTTACAACGTATTTTGTGAGCAAAACGTAGATACCTGACAAATATCGTTCCTAAAATTACAGATAATGGGTGATGTTAATTACAATTGATCAAAAGAGAAGAAACAGTATAACATAAAAACCTTTTCTTCTCATGTTCCATGCATTCAAGCTTTCTAGCTATTCCTGTCTATTTATTCAATGATTTTCCCATCCATTCACGGAGTGAAGAGTTTGAACGCATCGAATACTTCACTTATATTGGGAATCTCACTAGACCTGATGGTTTGCCATCTGACGGAAACTCGGCACAGATTCAGAAGGTCCGATTGGCTTCTGCCAACTTGAGTCACTTATGGCATAGGCAAAATATCCATCTACCAACCAAATGGCGAGTTTACTGAGCAGCAGTTCGCTCCGTTCTACTTTACGAATGTGAAACATAACCATTAAGAGCAAAGAATATTCGTAGGTTACTTGTATTCTATCACATGGGTCTACAAAGAACTTGTAGTGTATTCGGGGACCACCAAGTAAGCAATGTCTGGGTTACAGATCAGCTAATAGGTAAGGATGGCGAATCGATTGATAAGGTAGTAAATCTTTATCAACTGGAGTGTTTGGGACATGTGATACGTATGTCCAACTACTGCCTACCTAGAGTGTGATGTTTTCTGAAGCAGGAGTAGGGTGGAAGAAAGCTAGGAGCGACAAAACCAAACATGGCATCAATTCATGGAGTCACTGACAATTGGACTTGACCATGTAAATAGGTGCAAACTATCTTGGTTGGGGTCCATATGATTATGTTAAACAGTCAGAGAATTTGAATGACATGGCTCAGAATCGTTTGCAATAGCGCAAGTGCATCCGTTCTCTGTATTCACCGAATTCTGAGCTTACGAATTCCTCATAACTATATTTCAAGTTTTATTTCATCATCTGATACTGCCTTGAACCGTATCCTCGATCCCTAGTATTTTCAATCACTACTGATATTGTCACTAACTCTACTGCTTTAGGATTTGGCTTTATCTTGCTATGCTAATGGGATATGGCAAATTTAACCGATGTACATATGTACTAGGTTCCACATTGCGACTGACTGAATTAGTGTCTATCTGAAATATATGACTCAGTAAAATACAAGCTGAAATATTAGAAAGAAAGGCGCCAGGTCTGAACTTCAGTGTGCAGGATATCAACACTGGGATGCAAGTATATACAGCTGACGAGTCTCGTATAGGACGAAATGTGAGTCTCGGATTCCACTGCTAGTCATATACTAAATATACTATAACTTATGACAACATTTCATCGAGAGAATCCACCCAGAGACTGATCAATATCAGTCTGGAATACAAAAAACCGGAAATTGCAAACACTTAGTAACGTATAATTGATCATTGTGAAAAAAACATTCCAAAATAAACCAAGAACTCCAATAAAAAATCATTCTTCTAAATCACAGTCCTATATTTCCAGTGAACAGAATTAAACAAACTACTCTAATACCCTATAGAAGTCAATAAAAGAAATCTTTAGTGATAATCCTGTTCATTTGTGAATACACGTAACGAGAAGAGTCTATCTCGCGCAATGGGTGAGAAAGAAGCGCAACAGGAACAGTTTGGCTACTCATAAGTAGTATGATTATGTTAGAAAACGAATTACTGGCACAACCAATTGGAAAACACTATTGATTAATGATCTCAAGTCACAGGATTTTTTGATTCTATAAAACTGGTGATAAGTGATTATATCATTGTGACATGGTATTGAAATCAATATAAATTACTACACAACGAAGTAGCCATTGATTTGTTAACCTTTCAGTATGAACAAGGTATTTTAAATTTAATTAAAATAATGAACTGGTCTAAGTAGGAACACCGATGAGAACATGGCAGCACTGGATGACGGTCTTGTTTTATTAAAGATTAGTCAGTTGGGTAAGCCTTCAGCCATGATGATGCCTATATTGAAACTCGAACGCAGTACATTTTGCTTCAAACTCAAACGCATTGTGTACTTAACTACTCAGTCCAGATAATTGCCGGGTTCTGCAACGGTGGGAAGTTTTAATTCATTTGTAAATGTTGTTTTAATCTTCCCATTATTGATGACTGAATAATCTCAGTTCTTAACATTAACACCGAGAACATTCAAACAACCTTCATAAATGAAGCGATTATTTCATACATGTGAACAAGATGAGAAAATGAACACTTAGTTATAAATATTCAGATATTTCCCAGTTGAACTTACCCCATGTTTGTCCTTTGACAAATTGAAGCCATACATCCAACCATTTTTTACTGACAGCATAAGATGTGGACGATGGAGTGACCGATGAACTAACCTATAATAGTTATAATTCATGGAAAGTGAAAAAAATTTTAAGCTAACCAAAAACAAACTTATTCGTTGGAAATAAATGAGATGTTTCCGATTGAATATTTTAGATTAATTATGATACTAATAAGTAACAATCAATCTGAATGAAGCATCAGTTTTGCAAACAACTAGAATAGATTTACATATGGCCAGTACTTATTTTGTTTTAGCGGAGTCTTATTCTCTTAGTTGGATGATTTAATCATGAAACTTTCATTGTTCTTCGGAACGATATCATCAACACACATTCTTTACTTTGAAGTGATGAATTCAAATTTTTCTACATATTATGACTGATAGCTTGTCCTGTTAACTTGAAATGCTCTCACATAGCCACGCGTATATAGCCTCTGCCAGGGAAGTCCTAACCACTGCCTTCTCGTGGCGGGAGTATTGTTCACGAAAATGAGAGGACGAAAAGCGAATGTCCGGCGCTTTAACCGGATTCCAAACCAATGATGCACATGAGCTCTAGAATCCTGTGAGAACAAAGGACGTATGAACCAATTATTGTTCACGGGCTAACATGACTGGATTTCCTTACGTTGCTCCACTGCCTTGCGGATCATACATTTAGGCCGAAAGCTTCGGGTGTGGTCCCCTAAGAAAACTACCTGCTTCGGTTTGGGCACCCCGGCAGCATCATAGCTCACACACAAATCAAGTGACTTGTGTGACGCATATGTATTCGTTGCCTCATTGTGCTAATATTTATATATTTAAGTAATAATAAACAATATAGTTGAAGATGTACATGGGATCAGTAATATGTAGTAACATATTACTTTCATAAATTAGAGAAATAATCCTTAATCTGTCAATATGAGCTGTGTCGATTTTTCTTCTGACAATAAAACACCAAAAAGCAATGATCATTTCAACAACAAAATGCATAAAATCATAATTACCCTCATAATTTCTGACAGTTCATATTTCTGTCTTTTTGAAATAGCATCAGAACAATCACTACACGGGATTAATTCTTGAATAATTTCATGACCACCAAACCTATAATTTCGAGAAAAATAAAGCAAATAAGATAGATGTAAAAAAAAACACAAATAGTAGGCAACATCACGAGATGTATACTTAACAGGATATTAAAAATATATTTTATTCATATTGTAAGCATTATCTATTTGAATTATAGACACATATAGATATTACGTCTACGCAGCTCGAATATGAACGTCGGATCCTAGAAGAATTAATCCAAGACAATTTAGAATCTAACAGGAATATGTATCTTATTTGAATAAGATGAAAGAGGAAGTTAACAAAATAAGAACGGCAGGGGAATTGATTATTTTAACCACCAGTGGAAAAGTAAACACAGGAAAATAATTCAGAAAGAAATTAAAATAACATTGACGAATGGAAAGTTGAGGATTGATATTTTGAGAAAAAATGACAATCAGTCAATAGAAGAGCGATATTGTGATCGATTCCAACCTAAAATTCTATAATCCACCCCGCTAAGCTTAGCTAAACATACAATCATTCTATGAAATGATAATACATCTTGATTTGTCCACCCCAGATTTGTTTTCAACATACTTCTGTCTCATTTAGCTTTGCGTGTCACTGTAATCCATAAGCTAGATAAACGTAATACGTGTCTAGATTGACTAAGTTAATGAACCCAGAACAATACTGTCGCAAACCTTAGAAATAGATTTATAAAAATAGATGTCAATCAAATAAGGCATTGAATATGTAGGAACGGTGTCCGAAGAACTCAAGGATGCTTGGAAAGAGCCGAAGACATGCCATCCAATCATCTTTCAAAAGAACAGTTCAGAATCTCAACGTGTAGCTTTGAGACTGAACAAATGCTAAAGACCACTGCACGCGGGGAGTGGATAACTGTGATGATGATTTCATTTTGACTAAAAACTATAAATACCTGAATGTCCTGTACCAAATTTGCATTATTTGAAATAAGATCCCTTCCCACTAGTCTTCTGACTTCTAACTTGCGACTTGAAGGGTTCAAGTGCTCAAGTAGTAAGCGGCATAGCAAGAATTTAATTTCTAGATATAACAGAATTATAGACTGGCTGAATAGGAAAAAAAATTGAAGAGTGAATACTTTATCAGCGCCGATTGATTGATGTTTTAATCCACTTAAACTATAGCTTTTATTCATCGATTTTCGCTCATCCAAACAACTATTATTCCTCATACAAAACAATAAGAACAAGTGATTTTTAGCGAATACTAGACACACGCACATGAACAGACAAGATACAATCCATAAGCACATGAGTTAGAGATAACTACAAGTACACAAAAGTAGTAAAAACTGCATACAAAAAGGATCTCATGATTACAAAAAATGAATAAGAAATCAGCAGAACAAAAAGAAAATTGGCGAATTGCATTTTGAAAGTATTTAAAGTAGGAGAAAAGACTTGAATAAATTCAAGGAAAACAGCTTGTTAAAAATTCCGTTGAAAAACATGTTGATAAACAGACAAGGTGAATTCATGTTATATTAACATTAATTATGGTATGATGAGGTATAGAAATCCTAGTTGAGTGCAGTTTATGGCTGATTTTTTTCTAGGTGAAATGGGATATCAGTTATGAGGATCCATTAGTTCGTCTTTTTATTGTTATACGAAACCGCAATTTTTAAAATTATTGCTTATTGATTTATTTTCTATTTTACATAATCCCTTTATCTAATGGTAAATATGTTTCATTCATTAAAATGAAAACCTTGGGAAGATGAGATGCTACCAGTTGCACGCGCAATACACATTCAAATGAAACCATTTACAGCCGACCAGTCCGAGATTGGATGATAACGACAAAAGTATTTCATGTAAATTCTGTGCAAACGTTTATGTGACTGTGTATTAAACATCGAAACGCCCTGTTGCTAACCCATTCTTATTCTGGTTTTATAAAATCCCGTTCAATTCAGTGCAGCGTCCACAGAGTAACTAGCTAAGAAATAACATAACACACTGATTCTACTAAAATTTAACTCTATTTATTTTAATCTTATTCATTCCTTTTCAAAGTATGAAGACGTAGTGTGATGCCTGGTCCAGGTTGTCTACTATTGAGTGAAAAATAATTTTATTAAAATTATGGAGCGATTTAAGTCAGACTATGATTAAAAACCCGGAAACGTTGGAGGGCTGTTACGTTTTAGTATGGGACATGTCAAAAGTGCGCATCCATGACTTTAAGAACCCTTAACTCCCACAACTGCTTACTGGAAAATAACTGACGAGCTTAAGTTGTGCTAGATCATGTAGCAATATTAAGCAAGCTTGGAGCAAAATGCTGCTTTTTCAAAATTTTTAGTAAAATATTTAAAACATCAACTCCGCCTATACCTCTTCTAGAGTTACTGCCGGTCCCAAGCCTGGGTAAAGGAGGAGGGTTGGGCATGGGGTTAGCGACCCCATCCCGTAGAAAACTAAATCGCTAAAAAACGCTTACCAGAAAAAATTATTCAAACCATTTTAACTCTGCCTTGGGAGTTAGGTCTTCATTTAGAAGAATTATGACGCTTCATGGTGAAAGCCGAGTTCCTTCGGAAGCCACGAGGCCGATGCCCCTTCTAACAACCAGAGCAACAATTTTTATAGGTACATGGAACGTCCGAACAATGTGGGAGACCGGGAAGACCAGTCAAATAGCAACAGAAATGGGGAAATACAACTTGGCAGTACTGGGAATCAGCGACACCTATTGAATACAAGCTGGACAACAAAGGCTAAATACGGGAGAGATGCTGCTATACTCCAGTCACGAAGAGGACAATGCTCCATACACTCAGGGAGTTGCTCTGATGCTGTTCAAGGAAGCACGAAATGCACTTGTGAGATGGGAATCTCACGGATCCAGAATCATCAAAGCATCATTCAAAACAAAGGAGGATCATAATGAATATTATCCAATGTTATGCAACCATCAATGATAGCACCGACGACACTGAAGATTAATTCTATGAGAGGCTGCAACCAATCATAGAGAAGTGTCCAAGAAAGGACCTCACCATTATGATGGGAGATCTAAATGCCAAAGTTGGAATAGACAACACCGGATATGAAGATATTATGGGACGACATGGACTGAGACAGAGAAATGAAGACGGGGTAAGATTTGCAAATCTGTGTGCATTCAACAAATTGGTCATATGCGGCAAAATATTTCCACACAAGCGTATACACAAGGCTACATGGATCTCACCGGACCACACTACAGAGAACCAAATAGATCATATTTGCATCAACAAAAAATTCCGAAGGACAATGGAAGATGTGAGAATCAGGAGAGGCGCTGACGTAGCTTCAGATCACCACCTAGTTGTGGCCAATTTAAAACTGAAGCTTAAAAAGAACTGGACAAGTGGACAAACAGCACTACAAAGGTTCATTACTGCCTTCCTGCGAGATACTGACAGACTCAATGAATTCAAGATAGCTCTCAACAACAGGTTCCAATCCATGCAGGATCTACTGAAAGAAAAAGAAACTAGTATGGAGAACAACTGGAAAGGCATCAAGGAAGCACTAACTTCAACGTGTCAAGAGGTTCTGGGTCTAAAGAAATACCATCATAAGGAATGGATCACTACAGAAACACTGGACAAGATCAAAGAAAGGAAAAACAATAAGGCAGCATTAAACAACAGCCGAACACGAGCAGAGAAAGTCCAAGCACAAGCTGAATACATAGAAGCAAACAAAAAAGTGAAGAGGAGCATTAGAGCTGACAAGAAGAAATACGTGGAAGAACTAGCAACGACGGCAGAAAAAGCTGCTAGAGAAGGAAATGTGAAACAGCTTTACGATACAACGAAGAAACAAGCAGGAAAATGTAGTAAACCAGAGAGACCGGTCAAAGACAAAGAAGGCAGGACAATAAATGAAATTCAACAACAGAGGAACAGATGGGTAGAGTATTTGGAGAAACTCCTGAATAGGCCGGCTCCAATGAATCCATCGGACATCGAAGCAGCACACACAGATCTTCTTATAGATTCCAATCCACCAACGACGGGAGAAACCAGAATGGCCATCAGACAAATCAAGAAAGGGAAAGCAGCAGGACCAGACAATATACCAGCTGAAGCACTGAAGTCAGACATCGAATTGACTACAAACATGCTTTACCTTCTATTCAAAAAGATTTGGGAGGAGGAACAAGTGCCGATGGACTGGAAAGAAGGACACCTCATCAAGGTTCCAAAGAAAGAAGACCTGAGCAAATGTGAAAACTACAGAGGCATTACACTGCTGTCAGTACCAGGAGAAGTCTTTAACAGAGTGTTGCTGAACCGGATGAAAGATGTAATAGACGCCCAACTTCGAGATCAACAAGCTGGATTCCGTAAGGATCGGTCATGCACAGACCAAATTGCGACACTACGGATCATCGTCGAACAATCATTTGAGTGGAACTCGTCACTGTACATCAACTTCATTGATTATGAAAAGGCATTTGACAGTGTGGATAGGAGGACGTTATGGAAACTGCTACGACAATATGGAATTCCTGAGAAGATTGTCAATATTATCCGGAACTCAGAAGACGGACTACACTGCAAAGTCGTGCATGGAGGACAGCTGACAGATGCATTTTAAGTAAGGACAGGAGTCAGACAAGGCTGTATACTCTCTCTCTTCTTTTTTCTTCTGATGGTCGACTGGATTATGAAGACCTCAACGTCTTAGGGAAAACACGGCATACAATGGACAGCTCATAATCAATTAGACGATTTGGACTTCGCAGATGACCTAGCCCTCCTATCGCATACACACGAATAAATGCCTCCAAATGCCCTGGTACGGCCAAGAGTGGGAAGAGTTCGCTCTCCCTCTCCAAATTCTCTCACACGGCTACGCGTATACAGCCTCTGCCAGGGAAGTCCTACTCACTGCCTTCTCGTGGTGGGGGTATTGTTTACGAAAATGAGAGGACGAAAATCGAATGCCTGGCGTTTTAACCGGATTCCAAACCAATGGTGCACATGGGCTTCAGTATCCTGCGGGAACAAATAGCGTATGAACCTGCTTCAGTTTGGGCACCCGAGCAGTATCACAGCTCTCACACATATCGAACGAGATTTGTGTGGCACAGATGTATTTGGTGGCTCCTTGCACCAATATCTATATGTTAAAAATTAAATAAAAAAGTAAATAAAACACGAACAAATGCAGATAAAGACAGCCGGTGTAGCAGCAGTCACTGCATCTGTAGGCCTCAACATACACAAAGGGAAAACCAAGGTCCTCAAATACAACACGGAGAACAGCAATCCAATCACTCTTGATGACGAAACTCTGGAAGATGTAGAATCCTTCACATACCTGGAAAGCATCATCGGTGAACAAGGAGGATCGGATGCAGACATATAGGCGAGGATTGGAAAAGCAAGGACAGCATTCCTTCATTTGAAGAACATATGGAACTCAAAACAACTGTCATCCAATATCAAAGTCAGAATCTTCAATACAAACGTCAAAACAGTTCTACCATAAGGAGCTGGGACTTGGAGGACTACAACAACCATCATCAAGAAGGTACAAGTATTTATAAATAGTTGTCGACACAAGATACTCAAAATCCATTGGTCGGATACCATCAGCAACGACCTACTGTGGGAGAGAAAAAACCATCTTCCATCTGAGGAGATTAGGAAAAGATGATGGAAACGGATAAGACATACATTACGGAAATCACCAAACTGCATCACGAGACAAGCAAAGTTGGAATACTGAAGTTAAGCGGAAAAGAGGAAGGCCAAAGAACAGATTACGTCGGGAAATAGAAACAGATATGAAAAGGATGAATAGAAACGGGAAAGAATTGCCCAGGACGGGGTTGGATGGAGAATGCTGGTGGGCGGTCTATGCTCCTTCACGAGGAATAACAGGAGTAATTAAGTAAGTAATTTAAAAAATCAAGTGCACTTTTCGTATACATTAATAGCCTATAATAATCCATTTTTAAGGCTGCTAAAGGCAAATCCCAGAGCAGTAGAAATATTAACAGTATTAGTAATCGCAGTAATAATAATAATAAGTATAGGAAGAAAAAGACAGCGAGATTTTCGGACTTTGGATCTAAGAGAAGGCAGATTGGACGAATTTATACTATAATGAACGGCTCTGAGACGTATCAAGCAGAAACTCTATCCACTGGTTGCAATTATCGCACGAATCCCAACAAAGTATTCTGCACACAACAATATGACAGCACAACTTTCAATAAATTCATGGAAACTTTTTGCCATTTTTCAGTTTGAATGATACTTTCTTCAAACCGACTCTTAAGCCAGACAAAATTACCCATCGAGGTAGGTAGGCTGCAGTTAAGCATATGTAATACATTTTAAAATAATCTTACTCGATGAATATTTACCACCTCACTAACGATTTTTTATATTTACCTGGTATCCACTACATACACTTGGGCGTTGCTCAATCTATGGTATTAGCTTACGTGAGCAATCCTTTGAAGCAACTTATTAATTTCTTCCATTCTTCATGGTAATCTTTCACACCCATAAAGTAACCTAAAGTTTCTAAACATTTATTTCAGAAAGCATAGACTTGTAATTTCTGATGAAAAAAAAACAACAATTAAACCGAAACTGTACTCCATCATTGTGTTATTAGTGTTTCCTCTGTTAGCCAATGCCTTAATGAGGACTTTTTACTTTATATATATATATGAAAGAATATAGATAAATGCAGTCGGAAATATAAATAAACTAGTTATCTAGTCAACATTTCAAATAATTGTGTAATAACTTACATTTTATGAAGATTACACCAAATACTTTCTGGGATAGATAAAGTTAATGAATTACGCATCTCCCATAATTCTGGTCGAAAATAACCATGTTCACAGAAAAATTCTGATGTCATTGGACCTGGTTCAGCCCATGTCCAAAAGCGAACAACCCAAGGTTTGCTTACATAACACATTTTACCAGATGGTGTTAACTTTAAACAAGAATAATATAAAAATTTTACAGAAATGTATTAATTATGGAGAATTGTTGCAGTGATTTCTATTATTACTTAAAAAGAAGGATAAATGCTACATAGGCCGAAAAACCTTCGTGTCAATTGTAAAAAAAAGTGGTAATCACGATAGCTTTTGATCAAAAAACAATTCCTTATATTCAGAAATATGTATATTAAGGAGGAAGAATGTATTCGTAAAAACTAAGAGAATGATTCTGAAGTAAATCCAACGTTTCGGTCGGCAACATGGTCCAAGCTTTTTCAAGGAAATATAATCAAATATATTTTTATCATATGTAAAAAGTTTATATGTTCTTTTTAAAACTTCCACCGATCAGAAGCAGTAAATAGTGAATGAAATTTCTTCTCACACTTCAGATCCACTTACGAATACAAACAATCTGTTCATATTAACACACTTTGTGTTACGCCACCACATGTCTCATACACATTAAAGTAAATACCTACGTTAAACATTGTTAACATGATTGGAAGACCCATTTAGTAATCAGTTAACCGAAGAACAACGTACCTAACTATATTTCATAATTCTGATGTTTGATTATATTTCCTTTAAAAAAACAGACCATATTGCCAACCAAAACGTTGGATTTACTTCAGAATCATTCTCTGTGATTTTATAAATACATTGCTCGGCGCCCAAATACTGAGAAACTATTAATTCAACTTTGGACGAAAGTTCTTATATATGTATATTAGTGTACTTTGCGTATATATATAGGAATTTTTGAGAGAGAAAAACATATAATTAACTAATTTACAATATACAGACTAATGCACTCAATCTGTGTGAGTTAATTAAACTTCACCCAGCTAACTAAACAGAAATAGATGAGACGGGAGTGTGATTTGATGTTTGAATTTCGAGTGTTTCGGTTATTATCAGGTAACGTTTAAAAAGTAGAATGTCACTTATATATTAACGAGACTTCAATGCCAAAATCAACAATTTAATATTTTCGACAACAAATAAACCGAAACAGTAAAAAAGCAGGTATATACAGCTGGTGGTTGAAAGAAAAAAGGGTTGACTGTTAGCTAGGCTATTTTATGAGAGAATAAAAAGACATGTTTTGCAGCGTCTCAAAAGGATTTACAGTTTATTATAAAGACATTACACTAATGTCCGTACTCAACCACTGAAAGTCAAGATTTCAACAGTCTTTCACGATTCACGTTCTAAATGATGGATGTAATGATGTGGAATATGTAAGGTTGGACTAGGACAAATTTGCCTTAGGTCCACCATTGTCTACAAACATTATTCACACTAAGTAACACCGTATTCAGTATAAATGATATCTGTTACAAACTGAAGACATGATTTCTCTAGAAATCATCCCTTTTTCATTGTATATTCTCGAACAAACGCGTCAACAATCAGAAGCAAACGACAGAGTGACAAAACAATGAAACACTATAAAGTAAATGCTAAAAAGATAACTTAATAAATAGTAACAATATCATAAAATGATTCTTGTTGTTAGTCCAAGCGATAGAAAAATCTGTTAAAGACACTAATAAATAAACAACCTATTATCGATTAAATTTAGATTGACTTTCTCTGCAATTTGGTACAATATGTTCACTTCAATCCATCTAAAATTATCTCATTGATTAATATGGCATATAGGGAAAAAATGTGGATATGCTACGATCTAATTTAACTTAATAAATAACAATTAATGCGCTCAACTTTCAGCCCATCTGTCTATTTGAGAGTGCCCAGTAACTCTATTTGGCTGCTCTAAACTAAAGTTGATTAAACAAGATCCGAACATATAACCTAACGAGAAATTTAAACATAAATCGCCGCCACACAAAAAAAACATTCTCATAGCCATAAGGCAGTTCTACATTTAGTATTGAATTGTCGACTGCAATCACATTTAAGGTTTTCTGTTAATTAGGACATGTGTGAAAACAAACCTACATTGTGTAGTGTAGAACGAGCAAATATCATAAACATAAAACACCTACTATTGACACGTACTTGCCAAGAATTACGTATTGGTTCCAAATGTGTGTCACGTTTTCTGAAAGAAAAAGGGAAATGTTTATTGGGAAATTTAATACAATCTTCCTATTATTAAATTTCAATAAGTTAAATCATAAATCTTACCAAGACCACCACTATGAACTAGGAAGCACTGAATAACTACTATGAGACTACTCAGAGGTACACATCTACGGCTCCACTATTTCAGGGGACCGAACCTAGGACCTTCGACCTTGCTCACGGATAATGAACCTCTGAACCACTGAACAGGCATCCAATGGTGTGCTTCAACCCACAATATTGTGCAACTATTTTCCACAGCCTGTGGTAGATAACTATCTCATACCCGACATATTTGAGAAGTCATACCCGATGGACTTCAACAATGTTGGGTATATAACAGTTATTCACGACAGACAATAAAAAATGATTGCACAATATCGTGAAATGATTATAGTTAGATATGTACATCGTTAGATCCAGGCTCATTGGTCTACAGATGATGTCCCAAGTGAAATGTAATAAATTCGAGACTTTTAGTATTGATTATTTTGGAAACTTCTGAAGTGTCAACATTGGGCCAATTATCAAAAGGATAACAGGCAATCGTCGTTTGCCTTACAAATTTTTATCAATAGGATTTAGAGGATGTATATTGGTTTAAAATAATTATTACAATCGTTTCGAGGTGGTAATCTACGTTCGTTGTTCTTAATTTATCCAAAAACAATACAACAGCAAGAAAAAATAGCTCGATATAATTATGATGACGAACAACAACAGTATTATTTTCTTTCAGTTCTCTAAGCACTCGATCATATACATAGTCAATGCTGTAATTAACCTGTTTTCCCATCTAATCGATTTCAAAATGCACTGCACGAAACTTATTTCATCACATAATGTCATATGATTTGTATTGTTTATCATGTCTGCTTATGCGACCATATTCAACGGTTGATATTTAAATAAACAAACAACAGTAAGATATATATATATATATATATATATATATATATATATATAGAGAGAGAGAGAGAGAGAGAGGTAAACCCTAACAAAGAATGCATGAAAATATACTACTTATAGATGTGATGGCAATGACGAAGACAACTGAAACAACAAAAGCAACAAACAAAACTACCTTCAAAATATTTTTAAAAACAACGAATAATTGGTCGACCAATGTAATTAGTAAAGTTTGTAAACAAAAAACAGAAAATACCCAAATATTTTCACTTGGTAAATGTAACCAAATATTTACCGAAGTATATGAAAACAAAATAATAATCACTGTAATTTGAAGGCCAAAAAAGAAAGAAAACTCTAACTAGAGAAATCAGACGTATGGTGCTACAGAGAAACTGAAAACAAATCGTTTACAATTCTAAGTAAAAGGAAATATCCAGTAATCTGGGTAAACAATCATATGCAACAATTCAACGAAATTTTAATTATGGCTTGTTATTATGATTACGTATGATTACCGTACGTTTATTTAAATACCGATCCCCCATTATGTCCATTTTAGCTAACATGGATGGAGTGATAATCTATTAATAAGATACAGATTCGAACTCCGCCCTACTTAATTTAGTATGAGCAATCGATTAGTATTAATAACCCTCATATTTGCAGTACACCTCAAAGCTAAGTACAGGAATCTCTATTTATAAAATTAGTTTGATGTTTCATTCAAGAGGTAGTTGTACTATAAACTAAAGTAGGTACGAACCGATAAAATGATGGCTGGAATTGCAATGATTTGATTACTACCAAGACAATCAACTTATTAACGTTACGAAACAGCTTGAGTAATAATTAAACAGATGCAAATAATGGAACTATATGTAAGAGATTTCATTAAAAAAAGAATGAGATACAAAAAACTAAATGTAAAAATGACAATAAAGTTTATTCAAAATGTATACGTGTATCATACATTACAAAACACTAACTTATAATACAATACGATTTTCATCCTAAATTTTTAAAAAGAGATCAATGCACAATATTATTTACCTATAAAACAGGATATATGCTGAACTTTTCAATGATTCCACTTGTTCGGCATCTAATTTTCGTACATGTTCATCATTGAATTCATACCAATGTTCCGTTGAGGAATTATACGCACACGTAGTGTAATGACCACCGCCGCAACCGCCATAGTGACAGATGACACCAATTAAATCATAGGTTGTAATCTAATACAAAAATATCAATGAAAAGGCATTTATTAAATGCATTCGAAAGTAATGTGGAAGATTGTAACTAGGTAACAACACAATTGGAATGTCTTATACATAATGATAGCACGATTTAATTAAGATGTTGAATGTATACACCATGCACACGTCATGTAACACCAAGCACATTTTTCCCTAACGAATACTGTTTAATCAAACCACTTTAACTTCGACAGAATCGATACCAAGAGTAAAGGTAAACAAAATAGAGATTTGAGGAAAGGGTTAAAATTTGGAGCACGGTGAACTGAAGCAAAACGCTTATAATATACAAGGTCAACTGAAAAAACCAATCGTTTGATAGCATTTACGAAAGCCGATTGGTTACAAACTAGCTAAATACAGTCAAGTAAATGAAAGCTTTGCAGAGATGTAACGTAGAACCAATCAAATGCGTTTCCGCAATAATACCTTTGGTTTTACATCAATTCAATTTCGTTGGTGTAAAAATTTGCTAAGATCTTAACTGTGATGTCCGAAACTACAACTACTACACATAGCTGAACTAAGTCTTAACTTCCGTTACTGTCTTTCGATTATTTATCATGGTTCATTAGAGAAACAAGATGTTTTCGAAACACACACACGTGAATGAGCTCAAAAAGTAATTTACATCCGGCGGTAAACAGCAAATATTGACACGATTAAAAACGTTGATAATGACGTGATCAGATATAAATTGTGGTAGTTGTATGATTGGACGGTATCTTAATATATTTACACAGATATCATCAACGCCGAACCTGACACAGATGTGTGTTGGCTCAAGTTCCCATACTACCATGGCATAAACAGATGAGTTTCAATCCATAAAATCATGTGACGAGAAAAAGACTTTATCGAGAAACATTCTGATAAGAATGCTATTCAAGGATAAAATAGCCATAGAATACCCGCAGTACGATTACAACCCCTTGCTTCCATTTTAAATATCTTTTATATATATGTAAATTGGTTTCGTAGATAATTACAAGGTTTCGTTAGCATATTTCAACAAAGTTGAAATAAGTTAAAAAATTATTCAGCATGTTAATAATAAATGACTTTATCCAATAATTAAAATTTAACTTTTAAACCTTCATACGAGAACAGTTTTTCTTTTTACTAATGTAGCTTAATTTTGTTGACAAAAATTGTTTTAACGATTAATAATCGAAGAAAATTTAGCGTTTTCCTTTAAACAGAACTTTGACCTAGAAAACTAAACAAACCTGTTTCGTCAACTGATCAAAAATGTAACCATTTCGTTTGTTTTTTTAAACAAACACCTTAAATTGACATGAAAATATATATCAGAGGAAGGTAGAGTGGAAAAAAGGAAATAATCTTTACTTTATCTGTACAATCACGATGAAGGTATGGTGAAAGATCTAAATTCTTTAACGGGAAATTCACTGGAGATGATAATTTCGAAGAATATAAATGATTACTACTGAATCTTTTCAAGTGAAGTGTAAGAATTTCCGGCAACGCGACAAGTCTGAACTGTTTCAAACCATTACACCGCCTGTGTAAAGAAGTTTTTTTTTAAAAAAAGAGTAAATTTATTGTAACCTGAACAATTAATTGATTGAATAACGTAAAAGTAAAAATAATTAGAAAAAAAAGATAGCGAAAGCTATAGGTCGTCCACCTTAGATAGAAAAACTTGGGGGAAAGGGGTTAAACACACACACAAAGTACGGTATAAACAAACACTTGCAAAAATGAGAAACCATTTAATGAAATATTTAATGTACTCAACAATAAATCATTATGAACGGAAAGTTAGGTGAAGATAATAGCATGTTCACTGTTTTAATCGTAAACAGTAGTTGTAAACATTTCTTAGTAGCCTTGATGAATACATACATGAAGCGCTAAGAATTAGACTGAAGGAATCCCCTAGTCTTGTCAACATAAAATTAATAGGAATTTAAAGGACTCTTTTGAATCAAATATGAAAGATGGGAAAAAAACTACAGGTAGTTGAACCAAGACTGTTGATTTAAACTGTGTTACTAGATGTACACTTTGTAGTGTCTGTGAGTTAACACTGATCAACGGTTGAAGACCTTGTGTTTACAACGCTGGAAATAGGTTGCAATGGTGTAGCCGCATTCATTCTTTGTCTCCTTCTAAGTCTTTAGTTTCAATGATGTTTCATACTTTCTATTAAGCTAATAGTTTTTTGGAACCATATTTCCTATATTCATAATATTTTTAATTCCTTGACACTACTGTTATTTCAACTTCACTATTCACCAAGTTTATTTATTTATTTAAGCACATAAACATTGGTACAAGGAGGTACCAAGCATATATGCGCTACACTTTGTTATTCGATTTGTGCGAAGGTTGGAATATTTCATGCAATTAGTCCCCTTTATGAATTTAAATAAAGTAAGAACAAATACTGGAATATTGCTTGGCAGCCCAAACCGAAGTAGGCCACCAAGTTCCCCCCCCCCCCAGTTTGCCAATGTAGCATGGTAAGTGGGTCTCTTATATTATTTGTCCCAGGTCATACATTGATTTTAGTTGATTTATGAGAGTTCAGTTCTTTCTAGTAAACTGAAACGGAAAAGTTTCATGTTTGATTAATAGGAAATATATAGGTTATTTGGTTCACAAATGACGGGACAAGAAATATCGACCAACTTCATTTCGCATAATTTATATTATAGAGATAATATTTGGTTTTCATGTCTGTATCAGCACACTCTCTTGTCCAGGCAATTGATAATCGGAAAAACTAGTGATTAGATAGGGTGTTACAACAAGAGCGAGATTATGCAACCAACAAAAGGACTGTTGAGTTTACAAAATAACAAATTCCAGGCAGTGTATATGGCTGATCTTTACCACTCTTAAGCTACCGGTCGAATTTGTGTGACATTTCCGAATTGCAGAGTAGTGCAGTTCACAACTTAACTCTTTCTTTAACAAATGAATATGTAAACGTCCAATTAAAAACGAAACGCCAGCACAAAACTTACCGATTACATCTCCCACAAAAATATCCATTTTCACCAACTAATTCCGCTTCAGAAAAATAATGAGATAAGCAATCTTCAAGAGTAAGAGTAGACCATTTATCTATCCATTGTTTAGGTCTGTTATATAAACAAAAAAATAGAGAAATTATGAGTATAGTTTTTTGTGGAGATTGTTGAGTTTGAATCGCTATCATGAACCGATCAACGTTAGACCACCATTGAAAACATGCAAGCACTGAACGACCGTTTCGTCCCGATATGGGACTCCTCAGCGATGTGCATCAACGATACCGCACACGGAGCTCGATACCAAGAACCTTAGGTCAGTAATTATGATTTAGATTATTGAAAATTTCCAAATAATATGAATACACGCAAGGTTCTGCGATTACTGTAATATGGTATTTTTATTCTATTGATCCACATTTTCTTCGTACATCGTACCTTTCACTGTCATTTCTTCGATATGAACACTAGTAATATGAAATTTGCTCTGACAATTCCATCAGGTTGTGGTAATTGGGCGTGACAATGTGAACCGATACCAGATTGTACGTTGTATATGACTGGCTGACTTGTGAGTTAGATTGTACTATCCACACTGATCATCAAATAACATTCATCTCTATACTAATGAATTTGTAAATATTGTTTGATGACACAAAATTTAGAACAATGTGTAGGTTTAAATGGCTCAGATAAAACCCCATGTTGTACATCAGAGATGACTATATAAATAAAAACAAAAATTCTGTACTATAGTCATAGTTCTTTCGTTGGTTCTTTTTTCGTTTCCTATTAAATTTACTATCTATTTCTATTTGTCGTTGACTTACTCATATTGTTTTGATAGAAAATTAATTAATTTAAACGTATATATATTAATAATTTAAACTAGTACAAATAATTTACACCAGAACTTACGAGGGTAAAAAGCTTTGTACATAGGATAAAAATATATGAGTTAGGGTTAAAAGCATAGTGAGTAACCAAGGAATACCCGTTACCAGACGACCAACAACTGATGGTAGTGTGAATAACGATGATTTTATTTTCGATCCACGTGGTGTAGAATACCTTCTACTTGTTGACTTCGATGGTAGTGTCTGTTGCAAATCATTAGATGTTTTCAAATATACAGGACCATTTTTCAATAAAGAACCTGTGCTTATTGAACCATTCATCAAGGAGGATTTTGCTGATTGATCAACAGAAGAGGATGAATACGTTTGTACAGTAGGTTTGGTAAGGGAAAGGGACAAGTCCATAAATGATTCCTCCCGATTGGAAAGCTATATAGAAGTAATGATCATATATATACAAAAAACTCACTAGAAATTTACTGTAAATGTGGATGTTAGTGAACACTTCATCAAATAAATGGAAGCACTGTTGCATAAAATATATGAATTAAATTTGCGAGAATGGAGATAATGAAGACTCGTAAAACACCTTTTAAATCATCCGGAGCTAAGCCAGAAAAATCTAAAAATTTCAGAATCTATTACAAGGACATACAGTCGATAGAAAACCCTAAACCTAGATTTAGTAGGGCGTACTTGTAATCTTAAGATAACTGATACTCTGACCGATTCAATTCTGACACCCAAATGTGCAATCAGAGACGTTACCATTAAGCTATTCGAAACGCGACTGACCTCCTGTAGGACAGAGATGTATTAACCATTGACCGATTACTGAGTAGTCGTCAATGCCATGTACGTCCTTTGTAATGTTGACCGAATTTTGTTGATTAAATTCACTAAGAAGAACTTGACATACACAATAATCACTACTCAGTGATCAGTTAATTATCAACACGTATATTTAATTTTTCAAAAAAGAGAAAAGTGGACAAGAGAATTACAGAACGACCAGAAATCCTTCTTTTTTTTCCAGACGAAACATCGCATTTAGTAAACATCAGAGACAAATCATAGTACGCTATATTTATCGAGGTAAATTGAAATTGCTGTACAAAATTCTTGAAGACAAAGAAAAATTTACAAATGTTTAAATAATCTAAATGTACAGGTCTCAGATTCATTTTTATTCTGTTTATATGTATGTTAATGGACAAAATAATATATTTCAACAAAATTTAAATCAGCAGGGACATATGTAAATTAATGGGCTTCAGTGAAATTAATTTTGAATGAACAAAATTTACATTCATAGCCTTTTCCAAACTGTATGTGACACACACTCTATAGAGTGAACAACAAAGTACCTATTACCGTAAATATGTGTGTACTGCGAATTCAAAAAAGGGAATGAATGAGACTGTATAGCTAGCTTTATAAATTGATATCATGAAAAACAATCTTTTTTTTGTCAAACTGATTTTACTTATTTTATGATATAACTGGTTTCCTTGGTTTTTTCTTCAGATTCATTTAACTTAAAAGTTCGTATTAAACTGCAGATAACAAAGGAATGAACAGTTATTTCTAACTAGTATGGGACCTTTCAGCAATGATATTCACAATACCAAACTATTCTTGGTCCAAGACAGAAATTATCTTCAAGGCTAAACAACTTTACACACTGAGTAAACAAAAGATTCATTTCGAAAGTTGAAGGATTTGAATATAATTGTCAAAAGACAGCAACTTCCATTGGTCAGTCAGTTATAATTAAAGTAGAGCTGACAACAAGGTACCTTAGCCCAGGTCGATATTACCATATTAATCCAAAGATTAAAAATATGAATAATAAAGTATAATAAAAAAAGTGCAGTTCCAATGATAACAATGAAGACCAAACCTTACAAATATGATCCGAAAAGGTATTTATGAAGGAAAACTGGGAATCAAGAACTGTAGGAGGACGAAGAGTGAAAGCATTTGCGCCATTGTGACTGATTCTAAGCCATAGCACTCAACGTCTGCAACCATTAAACACGGTCACCACGTGGATCTTAATCAGGCGGTCCGCATCCACAAACATGGTTTAGACCAACAGTCAGCGACTTCATAAACTGACCCTAGGTTTTGGTATGGCCATCTCTAAATTTCTTTCAATATATTCCTACATAACTAACACGGCTCACCGAGGTAAGGGGCAGTTATCCATACGGAATGTATGACCCATAGCCTCACCAACCAATTTATCATATTTACCTATTACTATAATGTCTAGCCATAGTATTGTTTACTTGGTCGTTCCACGAAACCCAAGAAATGCTGCGAAGACATTTGAAGCCTACGTATCTCTTCTACTTCCATGAAACATGTGTCACAGACATATAGTAATAAAGAACGAACTGCTGTGCAGTATACTCCCCTTTTGGTTGGCAAACGGACATGTCACCTACTCCATAAGTGACTCAGCTTAGCAGAAACCAAGAGAGTTTTCTAAATGTGTCTACATTTATTTAGATATCAAAAACAGAAACTTTAATAATTATAAATTTAATCAGATCATTTGAAACACTAACAAACTAAACATCATAACTGGGAATGAAAGGAAATATTTTTCAAAATTTCTGTAACAACGAATAAGTAACTAACCCGACTGCATGACATGCAACGGACAGAGCTAACTAATCTGCCCTGAAAGACATCGGTAATTATACTGTTGTTACTGTTGTCCGATGAACCAGTAGTAGTTGTTTGCTTGATGCCTACATAAAATATAAAGAGGAAGATTCGCATTTAGAGATAGCATAATTTGAAAAGGGACTTTTGTTTCGGACCAGCAATCACTTCCCAGAGTGGATTAACATAAATAATTGACGGTTAAACTTGGCTAGAACATCACCATACTTATTGTAAGCCAACAATCTTTGTCCTTACATCAGGGCCCCCTTTGATTCGTTGGATAGGACTATTCTTCGAGATTGTTTATTGGAGAATAAAGTGCCTGAGAAGTTTATTAACATCTTGAAAGTCCTAAATGCAAACACATCAGGCAGAGAGTGAGGGTGTACAACACCTTACCTTCATTGTTCCATTCAAGCAGGGGTAGCCAATCTTATCATTTCACTTCAATTTCTCTATCGATTACGTCCTGGAAACAGCTCAATGGAGGTAGGTAGTAGCGGTGTGAGTCTGCTACCTAGAAAAAGACTCTTCGATCTAAAGTATGCGGATGATACGTTCTTACTGTGAAAAGATATCCAAGCCATAAAATCTGCAATCAGTATCCGTAGGCATGGCATATGCTTTGCCTGTCCCTATACTCACTCTTAGTAGTGAACCGTCAGAAGTAATAGAAAAGTTCGTGCATTTAGGTAGCTATGCAAGTGATGGTGGTGGTGTGGTTGATGAGATAAATGTACGTACAGCAGAAGCCAGAGAAGCTTATGACAATCTACGTCATCTTCGGAGCCTATGTTGTTAGCCTGGATGTAAAAGGTTGGATTGACTGCGTCGGCGACAGCAGTTTTGCGTTATGCTTATGAAACCTGGCCTCATCAAGTTGAGGATGTTAGGCAACTCTGTGTTCGACTATCGTTGTCCCCGAGGAATTTCTGACATCCAGTGACATTTTCGGAATGTAAATGTCTAGTTATACATAGTGACGATAACTCAGTTATTGTCACCATCTAGAAACACCGACTTCGGTGACTTGGACATGTGCTACGAATGTCGTCCCGGCGAATCCATGATTTGTTGACGGTAGGGCCGATTGGAAGAAGCGGAGAGATAATCAGTTTATGATATGGTGTCATGGTATGGGAAAAATTTGGACAGAACTGGCATCTGTCAGTCCTTCACGACTCCCTGGCTGAGGGGTTCTAGAGATGGTCCAACACTGGCCTGAGACAATAACAGACAGCTGAGAATAAAAGTCAGTAGCTGTCCCGTTATCTTTTTTGAACTTCTCCAGGTAAGAGGAATTTCTTTACTGAAACGTTTCCGGTTGTATTTTTGTTAACTGAACTGTTTCATTCATTATTTTTCTGTCTCATTCATACATTTTCACTCGCTTATTAATTTTGTTAAAATCACCTCCCGTTCTCCATTTCTTCAAATACTCATTTTCTCATTGTATAACGCATTAATATTTTGGTGCCCCTTTGAACCAATATTTATGTGTTTAAATAAATAAACTATTGAAAATTAATGTTCCTATACTTAAGGTCTGATTAACCAGTTTATGTGGTGTAATTAGAACCTTTTTGTAGTGATACAAAGTAAGACTGTGTAAATTAATATCTAATATAATTCAGCCACTATTTGTGAAAGTGAACACAAATTTTTGTCTATAGTTGTCTTGTTTTCATAGAACAAAGGATAACCTAAACATTATCCAAAACCTGTGTAACTTTGTCACAGCCCATTATAATGTCAATCATGGCCTTCCGAATGAGCTTGTATTTAGCCTAATGAGACATTTATGTAGTTTTAACCTGTTAATGTAGGTATAAGTATTCTTGCAAACTAATACCCTCTACAATTTATTCACTTATTTTAAGTTTCTTTTTTAGGATTTGATGTACAAGTGGTGTAAATGCACTGAATGATAATCAGCTTTCGCAGGTCGAAATGGAGGCTTGAATGCATAAAGCGAAAACCTAATATATCGTTCCTATGAGAAATGCAGAGAGATTATGACAATTGTCAGATTAAACCAATGGATCAAATAGAACTTAGAAGATGAAGCTGAACTACTTACAAACAAAGCAAACACAGAGTAGTGTAAACTGAGGTCAATATTTAGCTAAGAGTAAGATCCACATATTCTGACCTACTATTAATGACAAGCAAAAACATTAAAGTTACAATCTATTTCTTTGCTATGATAGTACCTTTTTTGTCTGAGTTTGAAAGCCTTGAGTGTTTCAGTTCCTCGTGCAGCTGGACTAAAAATAGTCTCAAAAACTCTTGAGCATCTTGTTGTGCATAACCTCTGAACATTGGGTGCACAATGCAGAAAGTATCTAAAATTGTATTTGCATTGAAACAGCGTGGTCTAAATGAGGAAAGGTAAAAGGAAAACAGATCAACAGTGCGAATTACATGGTACTAAATATGAGACTCAAATTAATTGAAACTAAAGGAGAAAATCAATCAGAACAGCTTTCTGTAAACCACCATGTTATTTAAGAAAAACGGATGGACCACAATCTTATTTGAGTAAAGGCACGTGTAACAACATTTAGAATCTATGAATCACATTTCCACTGCAAAAGTTAGAGTAAAATCCACAAAATTGTTAACCGGATTCAGAAATACATATTACGGTGACTAAGTATAAAACATACTTTCAGGCATAAAAGTGCATTGGTTCAAGCTATCATACTCGATATTAATACACAGGAATTAAAGAAGCTGAAGTAATATTAGTACCAATCATAGTAGGAAACTAGGTAAAGAGATGTAGGTCCAGAAAAACAAGTGACGTCACAGAAAAATGAACTAAACATTTGAGGGCTTTTTCTTTTTCTTAAACACAACCTAGTTGTACTCTATAGGTTACTAGGATTCCAGAAATAGTTTTCGAAGTAATTGATTAGGATTATCGTCACTAAGATAAGTTCGTGGTGAATGTTCAGTTTGAGGATCATTTACACCACTGACCACATTTACACGACCTGAGAAAACATGGAGTCGCCAGAAATCTTTATCCTAGTTTTAAACTACACAACAGGGTTTAAAAAAGTGAAAGGTCAAGATGGGAAGTTAAAAAGTGATAAAATTGATACATTACTAGGGATGCCGACTTTTCACAACAAAAGGTCAAAAAAGATCAGCTCTACGAATTCCAAACCTCGCATTCCTATATAGATTTTCGACGACGTTATAGCATAAGAATTATAGAGCATTAAATAGTACATTAAATACTATTTACAGAAATATCGTAAGTGATCAACAAACAACAGTCCCATGAACCAAACAGTTAAGCTCCTAGGTCGAGAAACTACAACTAACTTATCTAGTTTCTCATGTGCTTCAAAAAACATCTTCTTAGTGTAGGGAACCAAGAAGTGAAAATGTCTCAAGTTTTTAAACGCACTTAAGATTATCACGTATTGCCATAGACAAAATGCCAAGCATCACTGCGGAACAACTAGTGACAACCTCGCCCTAAACTCCCAAGTATACCCCGGTCCATACATGCCACTGTTGTAAGATCAAAAAGGAAGGCATTTTCACAAGCCTGTTACTTGCCATATTTGACATGCAGAATCTGACTGACTAACTCGCGTTTTCAAGTATGTTAAGTGAGAACTGTGACACAATACTGCTGAGGTCAGACATAATAACAGTGAAATGGGAATCAAGGCAGAAGAGCACACAAAGTTCTAAAAGCTGAGTTAGCAAGGTCTGACAGACATGCATTTTGTCTAAACATTAAATCTAATTACCTTTCATTTCCCCAAAATTCAGAAAGTAGTGTGCAATAATGATTGAACAATACAAGCCTTCGATTTGGATCAAGGATGTTATGACACTCGAGGAAAAATTCCGTTAAGTGTGGACTGCAAAACTGAAAAGTATCACTGAAAGTTACCAATTCGATAAGGCTTGTAAAGCGGCATTCATATAACAAGTGTTGCCTATATTACGAAGTCCACCAAGCCCAAAAGAAAGCAGCTGATCCGAACTTATTATAGTATCCCCAAACTCCTCATTCATATTTACAAACATTATTATAACACATGACGCCAGCAGCCAATATGTACAACCCGCGCCAAGGTGACAAGTACCAAAGTACAATTACAGAAATCATATTCCGATATTTATATTAAGGACAGAAGGCCCACGGCCCGTGTGAGTCATTTTCTAGCAAGCATCTAAGAGTTTTCAATCTCCTCATGAATAAAATAACTGAAGGAGTGGACACCTTTGAGTTTTATCTTTCTGGTAGATTCAGTTTCAGTTTGGAAAGGACAGGAGACTAGATGGCCTGTGTTAGTCCTAGAAATGGTGGTCTCTCAGTTGATCCAACTTTCTTTTGAAAGAGTCGACAGATGGAGTTTCAACCACGTGTTGAGGTAATGAATTCCACTCGTTGATGATTTGATGGGAAAGTCGATAGTCGGCTGACAAGCAATTTGTGCTGGGCTTGTGAACATTTTGTAGTGTCCTCGCAAATCCTCTGCCTCGTAAGACAAGAAAAATGGAGACATATCAGGTGAAAATTTATCACTAATCAATTTGAAATATGTAATCAAGTCACCTCTAGTTCTATGGTATGACAACTGGAAAAGTTTTAGCTTGGTCAGTCGAGCATCATACAGAAACTTCGCAGTTCCAAGAATCATCTTATTTGCTGCTTTCTGAACCTTTTCCAGAAGCTCACAGTCTTTTTTAAGCAGGGGCTAGCCGCTTGTATGTAGCACTCAAATCTAGGACGTACGAGCACTGTATATAAAGTAAAAAAAGAAGGGATATATCAGGTCCAAAACTACTTCTTAGTATTCTTTACATCGAAATCAGATCACCTCACGATCTGAGGTAGGAAAAAGTAAGGAGGTGTAACATATCAACCCTCTCTTTGTATGGTAGACTCTAGAGTTCTGGAATTGCATGAGTAGCGTCTTTCTGTGCTTTTTCCATGATATCCGGGTCACCTTTTAGGCAGCAGCTTGCAGTCTAAACAAAGTTTTAGAGTTTGGGTCTCACTAAGGTTGTGTTTACTGTGGAATATATTAGTTTCGTGTATTATCTTTTTTCCTCTTAAGAGTTGTGTTGATCCTGTTTTTGTCATGCCCTAATGTTTTATATTAAATATTTTGATATTTTGTTTATATGTATCTGCAATCAAGTGATGCTTTTTGCCTACTTCTAAGGCTCTCCAGGTTTAGATGATGCATTAAAGTCAACTACTGCAAAGCGTTTAATTTTATCACAGCAGAACGTACGTCTGCTTAGGTGGAACTCATCTGCTACACATTCAGGACTGCGGTACACTACAACTAACTATATATATTGCCGTTTACATTTCATCCTGCACCACTTCCTCGTGTAGTGTGTCACTGACTCGACAGCTCGTATGATTATGGTGCTTTTATTGTCAGAATAACCATACGATCCAACAGTTTAATCTGTCAGCCATACTAAGTAAGAAAACAATCAGTTGAATTTCCCTACATACACTTTTGACATTAACTATACTTCTGAAAGGGCTATGGCATCAGGATTTTGTATAACACACCTTTAATTCAATGAAGAACTTTTTCTCGTTAGAACTGTGGTTTTTAGATCATTGCATTCCGAACTTTCACAGTGTGAAAACTCATACGTATAAGGGATTTGCACCGTTCCGGCAGCGCTCACTTATTTCTACTTGTGCAGATCGTCTCTTAATGAGATCAACCAGACCGAGATCATCCCAGACACATATTACGGACCATGTCAAGTTGCGAAAATTTCTTGAGATTAGGTTTCTTCGGCAGAAGGAAAGGTAACTTTTACGAAGCAGCCTTTCTGTGTACTTTCAGAATCCATTTTTTGTCCAATTCTACAAGGCTTATAGGCGTTAACTCCTGCTAATGACTCTGGAGATATCATGCTGACCAAGGACTAAGTTTGGCCAGAGCCATGTTCATATCTGGCTTTTGGTTCTTTTCAGGGGATTTTCTTAATTTGTGAAAAATGATTGACCTGTCTTGGAGGACCGTCTTTATACAAGCTGTGATGTTTTGGTTCCTGAAGATTTATCAACCTTTCTGTCCGATTTGGAGGCAGATGCGAAGCCTTATCTGCTTCTTTACTTTTCTGGATGTAACTGTAAGCTAATCATTGAATTTCTTATGTCTCTGGAGAGCAACAACTACAATGCTCAGCTTGTGACTCTCCATATCCTGCTTAATATTGACATGTGAATTCGAGCTGGGACCTTAGATTCACATATCTTAGTGCTGCCTATGATTTGTTTCTCCTCAGTGCACTTCTTTCCCATTGTAACTATACCCGCATCTGTGTTTGCTATCCGCTACACTGTTGGGGTCTACCTTGATAGTTCTGTTCTAAGCCAAAGCTGAACTCATGATAAAGCTCGCTACCTTCACGAAAGCTGAAGGCTGGTCATCTGATACTACCTTTTTATCTGAAGGCATCTTTCTAGCCACTAGCTGGAAAGCCGCAAGAATCAGCAAACGTGATGGTGGCTTGCAGCACTTTTTATACGCAGCCGATGTGAGTCCGGTGCACACGTTGTGATACCACTTAGTGCAGCTGTCACATTGCATTCTATCCTCGACCGAAAAAAGACATGCAAGTCCACCAAAACGATCTTTTGCTTGCGCCATTTAAATTTTTAGGTAGTCTTACAGAGAGAAAACAAAAAAACTGTTTCCTAGAATAAGCATTTATTTAAGGCTCTAATGGTGATAGACACTGAACAAAAAAAGCTAAGATTTATATGTTACTGTAACTGAAAATATCCGACCTTATTAAATATAAAAAAGCTTTTCCACTCTCGGATAAAATCAGTGCTAAAACATTTACTCAACGCGGAAAAATACCATCGCCATTTTTGTTTCGCGCGTATAGAGATCGAGACGTAATGTTAACCTCTCAGTGAATTGTATCATAAATCTCACAAAATTCATTCCGCTGGCTTGAAATCAATTAATATAAATACCTTTGCTCTTGTATCTATAAATTCGGTCAACTAGGAACGTTTGTACCTAGTGTCGTGTTACGCGCCACTCATGAACTAGCGGTTTGGCGGACTCGGTCAAGTTATGCAGGATCCTACGTTGCAGTTTTTGCGTACTTTAGTTACTCATGGAGAAAACAAGTACTGTTTCGATTGTCATCAAAGAGGCCCGACGTACATAAACATCACAATTGGTTCCTTTGTTTGTACAACATGCAGTGGTGCTCTGTAAGCACTAACCTTATATTATTACTATGTTTAGGAGAAAATATAACCACAGAGTGAAATCAATCTCAATGTCAAATTTTTCCCAATCAGAAATTGACTTTCTTTGCACTCGAGGAAACAAGGTACAGTGGTTTTCTACGGATAATTTCAAATAGGCATGCCGAAAAATATATTTGGCTCTTAGCGAAGACCAAACCATGACTGAGAAAGACTTGAAAGATGGAGCTTTAGATAATTATTTAAGACAGAAGTACCAGCTACAAAAATGGTGAGTGTATTGTTTTGGTTTTTCTTTTGAAAAAGAGAGTGGCCGATCTACGAACACTATGAAAGTTTGCATAAAAAAGCTAAGGTTTTTGGTGGAAGATAGCATTCTTGTATTCTTCAAAGCAACATGCACAACAAGGATAAACACTGTTCATAACACTACCTTGTGTTTACGGTACCTCTTTCGACATTGTATTTGTTGCGCTTCATCGTTCACTTAGTACTTTGAGTTCAACACTACCAGTAGTACCATCAATATTTCATTCCTTAGTAGCCATTTTGAACAAGGTTTGAAGTTAGTATGTATTCGTGTAATTACCATGCTAATTTCAAGCAGAACCTCATGAGTTACTCAGAGCTGGTTGAATCCGTCACCAATATTTTACATTTCTGAGTCCTGGCCTTAAATATCGGCTGATTTTTCAGTCATAACTTAAGGGTGAATAGATATGGACCCGTCCAATTTCTCATCAGGGTAAAGATAGGATAATGACGAACAACTGGATATCAAAAATGTGGTACAAAGATATGAAATAGCACCTTATTGTCGTGTAGGTCTGACTAATTCTATATTTACAACCTACCTGTGTACTAACTTGCAAATGACAAGATAAATGATGGTTTTACCCATGTGACACCATTCGGTTGTCTCAGTTTTTGATGATTTAAATCTTTAGGAGCTAAACCATGGTTTCTATCAGTCGTTCACTCATACACAACGAGATATAAATATTTTCATGTGATATTTTATTATTAACCTCAGTAATGCTCACTGCAAGGTCTCACCATGATTGAGCTATACTTCAAGGACATATGTGATTGGACGCTACTAGGTTATTCCTGTTTTATCCCTTCATAGGCTGTTTTATAACCACGAAGCAACATAGAATGAACTTTCGCGTATTATAATCACAGATCAGTACAGGAATTGCGAAGTAATCTTTGGATCTATTCTATCATATTTTGCATACCTAGTTTTGTATGCATACTATGCTTCCCTAATACTCAAATTAATTAGATACGTTTTCTATTAAATTGCGACACGTCAAATCGTTACATTAACGTCATATTTATTTTGCAAAAGAATAATACTACACCTTTGAAATATTAGTGAGTAAAACTGTGACTAGTGCGAGTGTTACCTTTCTGGTTATCATAATTGCATGCCTTTTGCTGATGAGACAGCTCGATGTCATTCAGCGTGTCAGTTTTCTTGGAAATATCCGTAGAGTTTGTGCTAGTTTTCCAGGTAAAAAAGAATTTGTTTTGCTGGTCGAGTTGTATTTAACTGTTTTGTTCTTAGCTGTCCTATTAACTCAGTGATAACGCCAGTTTGTTGAACGTTGGATTAGTAGATAGAGCATTCGAATTTCGACCACTAAGTCCTGGGTTTGAGCTCCACCCTCTGCTTCAGTTTGGGCGACTGAATAGTACCATTAGTCCACACTTGGGGCATCGTTCATAGACGAGTAGTTGACGAATGAGCGTAGTGTTTAGTTTAATGCGGTATGATTCAGTCCTTAAGACTCCCATGTTCTTTGCTTACGATTAATTTAATTACAATTTTTACATTATATTTATTGTTGAAAGATGT